CTTATGCATCAGGTTTTTGTTCAAAAGTTTGCAGAAAAGGGGAGAATTTTGGCTACCACAATCATCGACCTAGTGTCGTTGATTGAGAGTGCACCACCTGGTACCATGGAGAATGATGTGTTCAAGCAGCTGCAGCTTGCAGCGGGTAGATTATTGGGTCTGGCACAACGTAGAGGTGGTGGAAGCTTAGAAACACCTGAGGGAGGATTTTCTGAGGTGACTTATGATGAAGGTTTCTAGAGCGACCCTGCAAACATAGATCAGTTGATAGCGAATGAACAGGCAGTGCTGGCACGTTCAAAATACAAGAAGATCATGGAGGATATGCCATCGTTCAGTCTGGGGTTCTCGCAATTGGATGGAGAGAATGAGAATGTGAATATTGATGGTGGTGATATGGGTGCTTGCAGAAATACACCTAGAACTCCTGCAGTTCGGGTTGTGAATGAGCCGGAGAGTAACCCAGGGGTTGAAAATGATTTCATAACACCTGGAGAAGTGCAATGTCATGAGGGAGATGTAATTTTAATTATTGCCGTAGAGTGTTCCTTGGTGTTGTGAAGCATGTTGTTTGGTGTACCATAACAATTCATATTGGTTATGTTTGTTTTTTGTTTGTTGTTGCAGGCAGTTGATAGGGATTTGGCTGGTGGAAGCAGGAATCAGCCGGACATGATTGGTATGACAGCAGTAAGACCGTTTTTCGTAGTGGTGTTGGTGATCTGTGTGTTGCATTTTGTTACGTGGTGATAACACCAATGGTTGATATATGCGTAGGTTGCTGGTGTGAGTGCAGTGGGTGATGGTACTGTGCGAGGAACTGTTACAGAATGTTCAAAAGCAGTGGTAGGAATGATTTTTTTGGTTTTGTCAAAAATTAATTCATGCATGGTAAGGGGTGGTGTGGTTGGATTTTTTGGTAACTTAATGAGAAATATTATTGTTATGTGTTAGGTGAAGCCATGCAATGCAGCAAGGAAGTTGGCTAGGACATTAAAACCTGTGGGCCCTTTGAGATCACCCTACCTTACACGACCGATAGATCTTTCCGATGGGTTATCTGTCATGGAGAGGAGGGTGACGAATTGGGTGTTGCAGAATCCAAATGCTCCAAAGTAAGTTTTTGTTTTGAAGTATGCAATTTTGATTGAAAATTATTGGATATGTATGGATTAAAGTTTGAATGTTAGATCTTTAATAATCACATATTGTGATGTTTAGGGATGAAGCTGTTTTCGTGAAGGATGGATTGGAGTTGACAAGAGGTGAAATTGCGTCGTTGGATATTGGGAAACATATTTCCAAGAGGGTGATATATGTGTGGTCAACAATACTGAACCACAATGAGAAATTCAAAAGTGACGAATCCCCGTTGCGTGTGTTTGCTAGGAGCATGGATTGTGTAAGTTGTTATTTTTTCCGAGTGCGTACTTAAGTTTGAATGGGGATTCTCATGATGCTTAGTGTGACATGTTTTGAAATGAAAAGGTTGCAAATGGGGATATAGTAGATGTGTCTGAGGCGAATGTGAAGAACATGTTTGCGAATGCGCTGCTTCCTGCGTGAAATGACATGGCAGATGACTTCAACTGGGGGAAAGTTGAACTGGTAAGAATGTTTATAGTAGACGCAATGTGAAGATTGAAATTAGTTGGATCGTTCTGCGTGGTTTATCAGTAGTTCATTGTGCTTGAGACAAATTGTTAATGTGTGATTTATTGGATTATGTGCAGTTTTTCTTTCCTATTATGCAACAGAACTGGGCATATGTGTTGTGTGTTGACCTAAAAAGCAGACGTTGTGACATCCTGGATAGCTCTTCAGCGAAAGCAAAAAACGAAGACAGATATGGCGACATGCCAAGGCGAGTTGTAAGAACTTTGGGTGCATGGTTTTTAAGATAAGGTATATTAATGTATGTGGATGATTTATTAACATGAAATGTTTCAACCAGGTGAGGTTGTTGGGTGATTTTCTTGAGCAGCAGAGGTTCGTTTACAAAGGTAAATGTGTTAGAGAAATGCTTGCTAAGAGAATTACGTTCCCTTGGAGAGATCCGAAGGCTACATTTGACTATGGTGTGGCGACCATGCGTCATATGGAGACGTATATGGGGGATGGTGGCAAGGGATGGAACACTGGCTTGTCGAAGATAAATCAAAAGCCTATGCTGTTGCTGCGCTGCAAGTACTGTGCATGTATACTTCTAAGCCCAGTTAATGCACTGTTGGACAAGGTTTATGCAGAGTCAGAGAAACTCGAAAGGGAGAGGAAGGGAAAGGATCCTTAGTGAACCCACACCTAGAATGGCTGCATCTTATTTTTGTGTGTTTGTTGAATTATATTTATTAGTTGTTGGTGAAAGTTGGTGACACCATACATTGATGGAAGTGCTATAAGGAAACTAGTTATCAGCCCATAGTTTGGTTTATTATTTTATTTTTTGTATTTGGTTGTCAAAAATTGTTTTTTTGTAGAAGGTGTGACTGGTTATGGTTTTTTGAATGAAGATGTGGTTTTGCCGTATTTGGTGCTTTTTGTGGTTTTTTAAGAATGTGTTTGTCAATACGTATTTTTGGAGAGTTGTAAGTGGTTGGATTAAGTGAATATTAAACAAGTTTGCTCTTTTGAGATGTGTGAACATAGCGATTGATGAAGTGATTGAATTTTTATTTGTTTGAAACAGAGGTTTCAGCATTGTGATATGAACGTAGAGAATATCAGCACCAATATATGATGTTATAATAAATCATTTGAATAGTGAAGTACACTAGTTATGGTTGACTAACACCGTATTTGGATCAAGAAATTTGAAGGAAAAGGAAAATGAAACAATAGGCAAAATAATTGTGTGTTGTTTGGTTAGAGAGTAAAAGTTGAAGGAAAAGAAAATGATAAGGCAAAATATATTTATGGAAAGGAAATAAAACCCATCGAATTTTGCGGGGGAAAAGGGGAGATAACCATTTTATTTTGTTTTCCTTCAAAAATCGTTCCTCCAAAAGTTTTTTGAATAATACATCCGTTTGATTTGCTTGTGCATTTCTGGGTCTTACTGCCGCATATATTGTCTGTGACATTCCATGATGTACATTATATGCGTTACCATTTATAAACGTTCTACGTACGGGGTTGAGGACGTTTAGTAAACAGAACCTCACTATATATGGTTTTAAAACCTCAATCTAAAACAAACCCATACATGAAATAAATTAAAATATGCTTCATATTCACCTCAATTTATCGATATATTGGTATGAAATCTATTTCATATGTGGAATGCACAACTCTTGTATGAATATTCATTTAAACAGTGGTCACCATTTTAGACACATCTGATTTATGCAGTATAAAATAAATGAAATGCTACATGGATAGGAGAAGGTGATACATTAAGTAAATGAGCATGTTATAAAGGGAGGTGTGGGGTACTAACTGTGCGAATGGGGAATTGGTGTTGAAAATGAGTCATTCAACCATTGGAATTAAATTTATCTATTCAGGAATACAAGAAGTGGTAAAAAAGCAGAGACATATTCATGGAATAAAAATAACAAAACATTTAATAAACAATAAAAGTGAAACAGGAAAACAGACTTATCACTTCTCATGGTTCATAGGACAGTTCCTGCTGTCGTGGAAGCCATATTCTTTGCATGTCCGACACAAGCGTTTGGTTTTTTTATTCTTCAATGCTAACTTCCTTACCTCCTTTGATACGCTTACCGCTGCCCTTCGTACTTACTTGGGCAGGAGGTAATACAAGAACTTCTGAAGGTGCAGAAGTGCCACAAAAGTTTTCAAACACCGAGGATGTGTCAGATGATAGTTTGCCATCCTGAAGTTTGTCGATTAGGGCCTCCTTGTGCTGATTTATAGTGTTGGAAAAGGCAAGTAGCAAATCAAGGGTGTGCTCTACCAAGGCAATACAAAAGTGGATGTCTGACATCAATCGAGAAACGAGAGTCTTATTTTGATCCGTAAATGATACCTTGTCCATTTCTGAGCCACCGACATCGAACATTGGTTTGAGCAAGTGGAATTTGCACCACCGGTTGGTAACATAGAAGTCGGGGATCTTTTCTATTTTCAGGTTTTTGAAAACAACAAAGATGTGCCTCCATAGCAAGCCAATGCGTTCGTAGTTTTTGCAACTGCAATGTGTGGTCCCATCGCGTGCACAGTAGCGGACAGTTGATATCATCCCACTTACATCGCTGATCTGATACTCGGAAGCATCCTCACTGTTTTGGATACATACAATAGCGCATGAAAAGCAGGATGCACAAATCTCTTTTTGCACATCATAAAAGACAGAGAGAGTGAATAACGATGCATCCTGTTTCTCAATCTTTAATGGGGTTTTGAACACTGGAATTCCCGACTCGGATTCTGAGTTCAAACAAGTAAATTTGAAACATTGGTCCTCCATTGCACTCTGGAATTGCATTAATAATTCAACTAGGCTAAAGTTGCGGTTGGTGAAATCGTCAAAGAAACTGTTTTCACTCTCTGATCTAGACGTAGTGCGCAAAAGCCCGGCCATAAATAGATCCCTGAAATACGCTAGAATCCAAAACTTACGTAACGTGTATAGAGACTTGAACCACGAATGCTCCGTGAGGTTGTAGTCTGCCATAACACTGCGCCATTGTGCTTTCCATTCTTTTTTGTCTAAGTAATGAGTCCAGACCATCTGATTAATGCGATTCATAAATTCCGTATCCTTGCTTAACACCGGACAAACTTTACCTGATAGTTTGTTCATAATATGCCACATGCAATAGCGATGCTTGGTTTGTGGTAAGACTGCTTCGATTGCAATTCGCAGTGATGGATCTTGATCAGTTATGATGCAGCTTGGAGCATTCCCCATCGCATTCATGAATGATCTCAACAACCATGAATATGACTCAGCATCCTCGCTTGACAGTAAGCCAAAGCCGAATGTCACACACTTTTTATGGTTGTCGACACCAGTGAACGGAGCGAATATCATCATGTACCTACAACAAGTGATAAGGACATGGATAGTGCTATGAATCAACAAAGAGTTGCATGCTATATNATACTTCTGATTTTCGGAATAATTTGTCAATGACCATTTGAGCATCTCCACCGGCAATATAGGCCTTCAAATCACGTTTGAAGTTTTTGAAGTCCACAGCAGTAGCACCAACACTTGAATACCCACCAACGGACTCCTTGAAAAGTCGGTATGATTTCATGGTACCAATGTTCGCTTTAGCACAGTTGAGTATGAACTTCTTATGGCCTAGATCAATGTTCCTGTTGATCCTCAAAAATGGCCTGTAGGGGAGAGAAGTGAGAGGATGGTTGTGCTGTTCTTCGAATATGCTGAGAACGTAACCATCATGTCCAAGGATGCGAAATGCAACACGTGCCATACAGCCTATACGCTTAGAAATGCGTCTTCTTCTCCCAGGTTTAGATAATGCAGCCTGTCCAATGACATGTGATGCATCATTGTGGGAGATTGTGGGGACATGTTTTTTACCCTCGCGGCTACAAACAACATATTGCCAAACAACGGAGCCCTCTTTCTTTGTAGTGGTAGTCTTGCGCACATCAAACCCCGCCTCAGCAGCATAAGCACGATAGAAACGAATAGCATCATCCAAGTCCTTTAAAACCATGCCGACCTTTGGAATGTAGTTACCAGGGCATTGCGGGACCCAATGACGTTCGTCGTAAGAACTGCTGCCTTCATTTGGCACTTCCTGGTACTTTGTGGGGGTAGCTGTATGAATAAAAGTAAATAATTCAGCACTATTTTAATATTACAGCTGCAACGTGAAGCCATGATATTGAAATAACATACGTAGTAGGAGCATAGGAATATTGCAATTCAATTCAAGCAAATATACCAAAATTTGAGGATGACACCTAAATATTTCATCTTAGGAATGCATTAAAATCTCAGCTTAGGTGTGGAGTTTTAAATTAGTTTTAAACCTCAACGGGTCATTCATATGTGGAAGGAGACTTACAATCGAGTGGAGCAATATAACGGTGTGTGGCACATAACTGTTTTAATATGAAGCAATGTATTCACAGCTTTAGTAGTGAGATTTGGGAAAGGAATGGCTAAATAATTGGTGAGAATTGCTTCTTTTTTGTGGGACATGTGAGCTAGGATGGTTATAGTGTGCATAGATTTGATGGGAAAATGCATTACTATGTCCTGTGTATGCATTAATTGGCAAAATGCGTCATTCAGAATTGGGATTAGTACTTTGTTCTTAAACCCAGAGTTTCGAAATTCAAACAAGTACAGTACTAAATTTCCAATCACAGAAATACTAAATTTTTTCCAAAAAAAAAAGATAAATCTTTAACTGATAGGAAAAATTACAAAATAAGAGGGTTGAATTCATTCAGAATTGGGATTGGTACTTTGTTCTTAAACCCAGAGTTTCGAAATTCACACAATCACTAAATTTTCAATCTCACAAATACTAAATTTTTTCCAAAAAAAAGAGATAATAATTAACTGATACGAAAAATTACAAAATAACACGGTTGAATTCAAAGGGTACCTGGTTGTGAGTGAAATTCCATCGCGTAATCGTTGTCTCCGTGAACTTCCATAGGTTAAATGAAGGGGGCACGCCGGTAGTTCCTGAGGGTATTACGCCGAAGGGGGGAGGATGCAGACGCATATGCGGAAGAATTAAAGAGGAATCCATACCAATAAATGTCTTCCGGTAACTGAAAATGCGTCGTAACCGGGGCTGAGTGTGCGCAGGGACGTGGGCTAATTTCACGGAGAAGAAGGTGGAACGATAATGCCCATAGTGGTAAAGTTCTTTTCTACCCTTGCTACAGTTTAGATGGGAAATGACAGATAAAGTGGATCCAACGGTTAATATTTATTCTTATTTCTTTCATTAGATCTTTTTCTTATTTGATCCAAAACATATATATATATATATATATATATATATATATATATATATATATATATATATATATATATATATATATATATATATATATATATTTGGCCCGGGAAAAAACCACCAAAATCAGTGGGGTAAGGTCCGAGCTGCCTTACCAAATTTATTAAACAAGATTCGAACACGTTCGGGGAGGACTAGACCGAAGCCCCGAAAGTAAAAGATACAACAATAGACTATATATATATATATATATATATATATATATATATATATATATATATATATATATATATGTTCAAATGAGAATAGGATCTAATAAAAGAAATAAGAATGAACTATAACCGTTAGATCTCATAGATTATTTATTTTTTATCTTCTTCCGTACAGGGCTATATTTGGGATTTTACAACACAATCCTCTCTCTCTCTTGCTCATATTGTATTGGATCCCGGAAATCAGCGCACAATCTCCATAATTTTCGTTCGTCGTTTCCTCTTCCAACGGTGGCACACCCGATCGATTGTTTCTTTGTAGCATGCCAATCCAAAATCCAAATAGATCTATTCAGAATTAACACCTTTTCCGGCTAAATGAAGAAGGTTGATAGAGATCCACCCTAGAAACAGAGATCTACCATGTCTCACTTATGATTATGCATTGTATGATCTATATTGATTTGTATATGTGTGTTCGTTTTTTGTCTATTTCCTTTTATAGTGAGTATTTCTTTACAAAATGATGATTTTTTATTTTTGTTTCCATTGCCTTCCAACTTTGGATTCATGGTGGAACAATACTTTAAGCAATAGACAGGTATATGATAGAATAAATACTTTCAATTGTGGAGACTCTTATATATGTTTTTCTTTGCATCCTCTTAAAATTCTTGATTATTACTCATTATGTTGCAACAAAGCCCCAAATTTGGATGATGTTTAGAAAATTCTGGAGTTGGTATTTAATTTTAAGAACAATATACAACATTTCCCTTTAAATAGCTTAATAAGTACTTTATTTGCCCTTTTTATATACAATCTGTAATATTCTACATCACTATTGTCAATACTGCTATTCAATCGCTCTATGACGCATTCAAAACATTTTAAACTACATCTTTGTAATTCCTAATTTTTTACTCCCTTTTTACTTATATATTTCATTTCATTTTGTTGTAGAGATATGTTCAAATTGTTGCACATATATAATTTGGTCTTTTCACCGCTTATTTTTTTAGATTATGAACTTCAAATTGATTTGTAAATTCTTTTAGCCAATGCAGTATAATAAAGAACCTTTAATGCAGTATAAAGTATCTGCAGTGCATATTCTATATAGACTCTAGACTGATTTGTAAAGCATGATAAGTGTATTAATGAATTGTAAGAACACTGCAGTCCATATTTTGTGGACTTAATATCCATTTGTAAAGCATGATTCTTTCAAAATTTAACTTTATATGATCCTTAATGGAAACAACCAATATTCAAGCATTTACAGGTTCATGTGCCAACGTTGCAAATATGGCTCATCAAACAATATGAAGATTCTTCCTTACTCAAGTTCTCTTGAAGTGAATTTTTAGTTTGTATAGATTTTTTTTATCCCAAACTGATATGCTTCACTTTTGTCTATTTTGATGTAGATGGTGTTCAAACACCCACGAAAAATGAAGATGCATGTAGCCTTAAATCCTCAAAGTTCTGGATTAAAGCCTCACACTTAAATGTTCTTCAAAACCTTGGCTGAAGGAATCCAAATTTACAAGTGCTACACTTCATTTGTGGGATATGATATTATTCAACCATAAAATATGTTTCTTATGGATAAATCTTAAGTTCGATTCATTCCATCTAAAAAGAGACGTTAAGCGTGAGATATTTGTACATATTTAGTTGTATTTTATAGTGCATTTATTTTCTTTTGTTATTTTTAAAATTTAAGATGAAAGTGCATGTTGAGTTATTTTGCAATGCATATTTACTGCATTGTATTTAAATGTTCAACGAGACAAGCTTGAACCTTTTAGATGCAACAACTTGATGTGTCATGTTGACCTATATGTGTAAATGAAATGGATACATTCAGTAGTATTTTTATTTTACTATGGGACAATCTTCCATTCTAAAAAAAGAGATGATGGCATTAGATTTTAGTGCATAACTGCATATGCAGGTCATGTTTAAAATGCATTCGTATTGTCACGTGTAGCATTTTTGCTCTTACAAAACACACCAAAATTTAAATACAGAGCTTACACTTGTATTTTAATATATAAATGCACTTAAATTTATAACTAACTGACTTCTTAGATTCATATTATGAGAATTAAAAATTGAATTCTCAAATAACAATTCAAATTTGCCATAATAAAAAAGTTAAAAGTTTACAAATGCTTGAATCGATAAGTAAATCACAATCAGGCAAAGCCATATGCATTAATTATTTAAACATATGCAATATGTAGTAGAAAAAAATAGACACTCTATTTCTAAATGTTTTAATGGTCAGTTTTTTTCGTTTCTAATTTTAATTTTATTCAAGGACCTAAAAAATTCAAAAATTTTTACACATCACACAAAAATTAACCAATCTCGTTGCATTACTAAATATATTTTTTTATGCAACAGTCACCTGTGAATACACATAATGAACGAATCTTATTAAGATTGTATATAACGCCATTTAATCCTTCATATCCTTTTTTTATCATGCTTGGGCATATGCTCCCCAAAATCATCATTGCCTAGGCAACTTGTGCTCAAAGCCTCTTGATCAAAATAGAAGGGAACACAAAAGTTATCTGCTCTATCACATGCATTATCATCAACATTTTATGATGCATCCTATTTCACAAATGCATCTCACATGATGCGCTTGAATTACCACAAAAGCCACATACACAACAACTATCAAATATAATTACCTAGAAATCAAATTTTTTCAACCCATAAATTTCCCAATATCAAAAAGGCTATCAAGATACATTTTTTAAAAATTGTTATTACTTGGTGCATTTTAAAACCCCATATGTGCATGAAAAGTCCAACATGTACACACTGATTTGGAAAAAATGTCAGAGCTATACGAACTTTCCAGTGGCTCCACCAATATGTCGTCAACAGTGCCGGAATGTCTGCCATTGTCTCACGAAGCTTCATCATCAGTCTTATAATTCTTGGTTTCCAATTGAAATTGATTCGATGCTTAAAGAAATAAAATATAGAGAAAGTGCCAAAATAGGAGTTCCATGTTTTTATTTCCTAAATATGAGTTCGCATTGTGATAATATGACACTCTACATAGAGATTTATTGTAATGTACATGGTCATGCTTGGTAATGTAAACGTATTTTAATTCGGATTTCGGGAATAAAAACATGAAAATTCTATTTTGTTATATTTTCATTTTTTTACTCCTACTTTAGAGAAAGTATTAACGTAGGAGCTCCATGTTTTTATTTACAAAATAAGATTTTGTACTATGGTAATGTGAAATGTGGACATGTGGTTCAAGTACTTGTGGTCTTGTGGACATGTAGCGCGACCAATGAGGAAAAAAATGGTTCTGTGTCACAAATGGCGAGGGGTATTTTGGGTATGGCGACGCAAATTAAGTCCAATTTGGGAATTTAAGTTTTGGAGTCCTATTTAAGTATATTTGATATGTTTTAGTCCTATTTTAGATTTTTTCCCTTTTTGTTAACAAACCAACACTTTGTGTGAAAATGAATTTTTGTTAACGCACCAACACTTTTTATCAGTGTAAATTATACTTTTTATCAGTGTGAATTATTAAAATGTTGAAAGATACCTTTATAAATTTTGAGGTACATCTTGTCTCCCAACGTAAATCTTTAATGAAAGCAATGAAATTAGGGGGAAATGGAGTGTCGTCCACCCGCTCATCAAGTCCAAAGTGAAATTGACCAGTTCTGTTCTCATCCTGCAGACCCCAGCAACTCAAGCTAGAGGAGATGGTGAAGAAACCTTCAAAAATCTCATCCCGTTCTTCTACTCCAGCTCCTTCCAGCTCCCGTCCTTCGATTGGGGTCGGGAAATCGGCGAAAAAGCGGGATGCATTGGCTCTTGCATTGTATGTTGATGCGGAAAGTGGGCATTCGTCCGTGCCACTGAAAGTATTCTATCCCGATTCAGATTTCCCTCCTCAGGTTAATGTGAGAAGATCAACGAGGGTGACTTCGAACAAATACAGGAGCGCGCCGCCTGCATTGCCCCCTGCCCGTTCTAAATCTACTCCAGCGCGGCCGCTATTGCTGACTTCTCCTTCCCGGAAATCCGGCTCAGAATTTCACAAGGAAAGGCAACGCTGCAATGGGGTGGCGAGTGACATGCAGAAGCGCTTGAGACCTAGAAAGACAGTGGTGGAGGTTGGAGTTTGGGGGAAACAAGTGGAGAAATGTGATCCTCAGAAACACAGTTCCACTTTAGGTGATAAACGTGAGAGATCTCGACAGGGTAAGAGAATTGATTCCGTGAAGAACACTTCAAAGAAAGAGGTGAAAATTGCTTCTATGAGAATTGGTTCTCATGAGAGCTTTTTTGAGAACAAATATTCCATTACTAGTGATGTGGTTACTAAAGATGAATGGATGGATCCTGTTTCAAGTGCATTAGCTGACACATCAGAAGAAAGCAAATCAGAGAAAGGAAATTCAGATATGGATGCAAATAGTGTTAACTGCCTAAGGTCCCGAAAAATTAAGTTTGGATTGGTTTCACAACGTACTGCAGTAAAAACATCTGCACTGAGTAATGCATGTGGTTCTGGGGGTGAAGTGTTGCGATTAGAAGAAAAGGTGGCATGTACCCCTTCGAAAGGAAAGGAGAAAAAAGGTAAGAGCATTGCATGTTTTGTTGGAGAGCCTATACCTGCCGAGGAAGCTCAAGAGAGGTGGCGATGGCGATACGATTTGAAGGTAATAATTTTGTTTTACTTACATTGCTTGATATATTAAATTACTGGTGCACTGTATTTAGCTAACAAAATTTGAGTAGGTGTTTTTGGAAACATTCGATGATTTCTTGAATTGCTAAGAGTGTATCTTTAGATGCTTTGCTGTTAACATTCCTTATATATTCTGAATTTTGTGGCACAAATTGCACAATTTATCGCACATTAATTCTCTGCTTCCAAGTTTTAATTCTTCAAGGAAGTGTATCAGCCATAAGTTCTCACATCCAGCTAGAGTCATAGTTGTGAAACGTGTTCGCTTCACACACCTCAGCAACCTTACCCACTTTAGCGAAGATTTCAAAGGGGCCAAAGTACTTGCATCCCAACTTTTCATTAGGCAGGTGTTGTACACTGATCTGTCTGTAGGGCTGCAGTTTAAGCCACACCCAGCCAACCATCTCAAACACTCTGTCAGTTCTATGTTGGTTAGGTAGCTGCTGCATGTGGTTTTGTGCTCTTTGTAACTCCTGCTTCAACTGTTGAATCATATCCTCCCTTTTTTGAAGTGACCTGTCCATAGCTGCAGCCATTGTTTCTCTAGGTAAATAAGATAAGTGTATGGGGGAGGCTGACAATAAATATCTTCATAAGGCATCATACGAATAGAGGAGTGGAATGTGGTATTGTACCACCATTCTACCAGGGCAATCCATTTGCACCATTCCTTTGGGTTTTGGGAACACATGCATCTGAGCTAAGTCTCCAAACACCTGTTGACTACCTCAGCTTGCCCATTTGGGGGTGATATGCATAAGATATTAACAAATCCACCCCATGGATGGAGTAGAGAGCTTGCCAAAACTGGCTGAGGAACACAGTATCCCTATAATTGACTAAGGTACTAGGCATCCTATGTAGCTTAACAACATTGTTAAGGTAACACTGGGCCACCTCTAGTGCGGTGTAAGGATGTGCTAGAACCATAAAATGAGCATATTTACTCATTCTGTTCACTACCACAAAAATAACATTCTTAGACATGGATTTGGGTAACCCTTCTATAAAGTCCATAGATATGTCTTTCCAAACTGCAGTAGGGATCTGTAAGGTCTGAATTAAACCAGGATATGCAGAACTGTCATGCTTACAAGCTTGATATTTATTCGGAATGAATAATAAAAGAAGGCGTGGTGATTTTTACTACCTCCGTCCCAGAGTATTTGTCCACTTTCATTTTTGCACACCATCCAATACACTTCTTTAATCCATTTTATCTTGTAATTTGTATATTAAAAAATTATAGAAATTATATATTAATGATCTATATGTTAAGACAAATCAAACAAGATCACACATGACTATATTTAGGCTTACACATTGAGAAAATTTGATGAGTCAAAGTACTTAGATGAACAGTTCCAAAAGTCAAAAGTGGACGAATATAGCGGGACAGAGGGAGTATTAGTAAAATGTAGTTATAATTTTTTTGTAATGAAAAAAAAGAATAGATATCTTTCTTGGATAAAGGGAGTACAAGCTTTGTTAAAAAAAGTGAGTACAAGCTTAGGAGTCAATTTCAAAGTGAATTCTTTTTTTTTGGAAATTAGTTTTCATAATGTATATAAGTGCTTTAATTATTTTTTTTAAAAATAAAAGTATGTATAATTTTTCTTGAGATCATTTTTGTAAGACACAAGACGCAATACAACTTGTAATGACCCAAATAATCATACACTATTTTTTTCATTACGAATTATGCAAATCATAAAGTTGCATAAACTATTTTTGTATCTTGTAATGGTTGTCTTACAACTTCTGTTGAGTGGTTTTTTTGAATAATGTAGTGATTTAATTATTTTTGTCTTATCTTAATCATTCTTTTCCAGTATTAGAGAAAAAATGTAAATCACGTGAAATAAAAAATTTCTAGTGCAAAATTAACGTTGCTAGTCCCAGGTCATTTTTGTTATTATTTTGATGTATAAATTGTGATGTTGGTTTTTTTTCTTTGGTCAAGACATCGTTAGATTATATATGTCCATTTTTTCCTATAGTTAAGATTAAATAAAGTATTGTTTCATTTGTCACCTTTTTTGTTACATGGATTAGTGACATGCAAATTTAAAAAATAAAGGTTGCACGATTGATATTAATTTTAAAAATTTAAAAAAGTAAGAGCAAATGCGAGTCACACAAATATTACCAATTTGATTTGGGACAGAAATATAATGACATAAAAAAATAAAAAGAGATAAAAAATCAAAAAAGAATAGTATGCATTATTTAATTAAAATATCAAATTTATTGAATATAATAATTATTTCAACATTTTTTATTTATCCAACTCCTTCGAGTTTCATCCAATTCCTTCCAGTTTTTTTTAACTCCTAGTTTCTTCCAACTTCATTCAGTTTTTCCATTTTAGGCCATGTTCTCATCAATTTATTTATTTTACTTATTACTTATTTCTATTGGAATCAGATCAGATCCCGATCAGCAGATCAAAATCAGAAAGAACATTAAATATTCGGAAGTTATTGCAATGAGATCAGAACCATTCAGATCAGGTGAAAAGAATATGGACTTATTCCAATTTTTTCCAACTCTTTCCAGTTTCTTCAAATTCCTTCCAGTTTTCTCCAACTCCTTCCAGTTCTTTCCAACATCCCACTCTGTTTTTACAACCCAAACGAACAAAGCCTTAGTGTTTGTCAAACATTAACATGTGGTGAATAAATCAATCATTGATCATGTTACGTGAAAAGCCCTGGAATTCTTATCAAACCTTTAATGCTTTAACTAGTGGCATGCCCTATAGTCAAGTTTAAACACATTCTCTATCTCCCTTTCTTCAATTCTTGTTTGAAAAGAAATTGAGAATGGTATAGTAGATTATAAGTTTGCTGTAGATTTTTATCCAAAGAAAGAATAAAAATGGTATCAGCCTCAGAACAATAGGCTATCAACCTAGTTGGTTATTTTATGGTTTCTTTGCTTACCTTGTTCATCTAGTGTTCTCTTTTGCTATTATTCAACATTAGTTTCTTATTTAAACTTAGTGTAGGTGATCTTTATGTTTTCAACTTCTAAGAGGTATGTTTTTTTTCTAAATTTTGTAGAGTCAAAGAAGAGAAAAGCAAGGGTGGATACTAAAGTGAGTCTACATATGAATTGCCCTTTGGCGGTAACAAAAAGAAATCTTGTTTTTCTCTATTTGTAACATAGTCATTTAACTGCACTCATTTTTTGGTACGCTCATTCTTACAGTGCTAATGAAGAAGATGAAGTGATACTAAATGTTGGTTGCCATTATGCACAAGCCAACATTTTTGGCTCTATTTTGAATATCGGAGATTGTGCATATGTAAAGGTACCAACGTTTTAGTTTGTTTTCTTATTGATTTATGTCTACATACATAATCATGTCTTTATGACCCATTTCATTATATTACTTGGTCAAATTGATCCTACAAACATGCTTTCTTTCACCTTTTGTTTCTATGTTGTATTTCCTCTCTGGAGATGAATTTCCTATTCCAGTTTACAAGGTTTGACTGAAATTATTTTCAATTAAGTTTATTTAATTATAAGTGTAAAATTCCAAAATAAAATATACTCCTATATGCTTAAAACCACATAAAAAGTTTTACAAAACAAGAGGTGACACGATTGCATTTTATTATGAAATGAGTAGGGAAAATAATCAAACAAAGAGAATAAAATTTGACCATGTGAAAAGTGCATGAGACGTTCATTTTCAATTGGAATTAGAAAAAGTATCTTCGAGTTATAGGGTACGTTTGGTAATGGTGACTTTGGTCAAAATGGCTAAAATTGCATGATTTGAGGAAGTTGTGGTTAAAATGGAATAAGTTATTGATCTTAATTATTATAATATGTTTCTTTACTAAATAAACAAAATGATATAAGAAAACAAATAATTATTTATTCATTTCAGCGACTTGAGGTAACTGAATACCTAATTTCTTATTTTTATTATAAACTATCTGAGCTACCATAGTATTTTGTAAAAAAGAGGTTGTTATTAATTGGTTGACCTTAGTTAGTGCCCAAGTGGATAGTATAATGATCCATGGAAGAATCGTATTAAATTGCCTGAGATGTGAATCATTGGGGTTATTAGTGATTTGAGTGGTATATTGGTAATTTGGTATAACATATTAGCATGTGAAGGTAGTGAAGCATTGAATCAAAACTAAGTTATGTGGCTAGGCCTACTAAAGGGCACATAACAACGAAAAGTTTAAAAATGTGTCTACTTTCTAATACTGCCCTTGAGGTAAATAATTAATTTAAACAAGATAAATAAAGGAAAGCAAAAGTTGAGGCATTTATTAATAAAGAGTAATGTTACATACACTGTTGCTCCAATATGACAATTCAATTAATAATTTAGCTATGTATCCTGAATCTAGTTATACATACAACATTTCACAAAAAAAGGGGGAAATTTTCATCTTACCTGCTGAACAAAGTTTGACAAAATTTGAAACTCTCTATATATCCAGATACACCAGGGAAGACAGTATGTAATTCTACTCCTTCTACCGATTCTACTTCCCTAGTTTGCTCTTTGTTTTTTTGTGGTGCTATTTGTCCTCCATGTTGCTTGAATAGGGGGTCTCTTGGAAACAGCCTCTCTACTTTCAGTAGGAGTAAGGCCTGCGTACACACACCCTCCCCAGATCCTGCTTTTGTGGGATTCTACTGGATTGTTGTTTGTTGTTGTCAGATTTCAGAGACTGTCCAACAAATCAGCAATAATGATGATGAAGTAGATGAACATGAAGAACTTGAGGCTTGTAACACTGATGTAGAAACTAACTTTCAGGGAAAATAGAAGTAAACATCTTTCAAACGCTGAAAGGCATAAACTCATGCAACTTCTTTTGCAACACATTAAGGATGGGGATGCTTAAAAGCTTCAGTATGGGGTTTTAACAAAAGCATCATCAAAATTCAACATTTCAACAAGGTTACTATGCAAGCTTTGGAGCGCAACTTAAAAGCAACTTTGGGAGGGGATTCAGTTGAGTACAACAACAAAATAAGAGGTACTGTAGGCAGGGAAAAATTAAAAGCAAACTACTCAATAATGAAAAGAATAGAGAGGGGATTTTTGTTAAGTCTAACAACAAAATGACAGGTATTGTAGGTAGGGGAAAAGTAGAAGTAGAAGGCAAAGTATACGGTCAGTGGCATGTGTCATGGAGATACTGAAACCAACATGCATAGGGCTACACAAACATGCAATATAAGAAGACATTCAAGTGCCCTGTAGCCATTCTTATTGCATGATTATAAATTTAGAATATAATGGATCTATAATTATACTTTATTCTGTGGTCATTAGAGAATATATGTAGGTCCATCAGGCTATTTTTTTAAAATGTTGATGGACTTCAATCCATCGGGGCATGTAGAATACATACAAAACAATATCAAATAATAATATACTCCGTAATAAATATGAATGATATAAAGAACACATTATGTGGAAACCCAAATCAGGAGAAAACCACGGGCCTTTTCCAGCGGTACCATGCCAAGAGGGTGTATCATTACTGATGGGGATATACATTTACAATATGTTAGGCGTGATAGCCATTGATGGAGCTTGAAGCTCTATGGAGAAGATGGATAATAAGGAATATGTATGTGTGGATCGTAGATGGAGGCCCTTCTTCTTCTTGGGTGTCATGCCTTTTTTCAGTGGAATAGGAGCGCCTATGGTTAGGGTTTCCACATTGGGCTTCTCCCATGGATTGCGCCCAATATCTTACAGGACAGGGGGTATTATCCCATCACATGCAATTTTGAAAATAAAGTTAGAGACTTTGGCTCAATTATTTGCACAACCAAACACAAATTAACTTGTAAGGGAAAGTCAATGCTTTTTCTTATTGGTTGTTAACCTACTGAGTAGTGATCATATCCATTTTTTAATTTCAAATTTTAGTGGTTTCGCTGTAGTGTTTTTTGTTCATCAGCCCAACTTCTCATTCTTATAAAGCTTGAGGTTTCATTTGACAATTTTTGCTAGAAAAAAACTAGCTTTGCTTTTTGTTAAATTATGTTTGCAAACACAACGAGCAGAATAGGATTAAAAACATCAACAACTAGATCCTTGACTATTCTACCTTTGCACCATTTCAATTACTAGGATTAGGGTAGTTGGGTAGGCGTTTTGGGCATTGTAGTAGTTTTTGTAGTTTTTGCCGTGGTTTTTATGCTTGATACTTTCTACTTGCAGTGCTTTTCCTTTGTTAATATTAGTTTGTGGTTTGCTTTTTTGTTCTCTATGCTTTCTCTATTTTATGTGTCTTATGTGATATTGTGCTATTTGTGATATTTGAGCTCGGACTCTTAGAGATTGTCTCCCTACTTTTGAGTAGGAGTAAAGTGTGCATTCACACACCTCACAAACCCTACCCTCGTGGGATTCAACTGGGTTGTCGTTGTTGTTGTTACAAAAGAGAGGTTTCATTCTAGATATCATTCGCTGCTAGATCTCATTCATTATATGTTTTTAACAATTTAGTACTCTAATGCTAATTGTGATTCGTTCTCTAGTGGACTAATAATTTAGATGGTTCTATAATTAGATTTTTTCTGGGTATGTAGTGAAAAGAAAGTGAAACTTACATGGTAAACAATATTTTCAGGGTGAAGGCATGAAAAAACATGTTGGAAGGATCCTAGAGTTTTTCAAAACAACCGAAGGAGAAGATTATTTTCGGGTGCAGTGGTTTTTCAGAGCAGAAGATACGGTCGGTTTTTCCATAGTTGAAATCAATTTTCTTCAAATGATCCCAAGCACTTAAAATTCGTTGCTTCATATATACTTTTTCTGTGTTCTTGCAGGTTATGAAAGATGCAGCTACTTTACATGATAAACGGCGGTTGTTTTACTCGAACTTAACAAATGATAATTTACTAGACTGTCTTATTTCCAAAGTAAATGTTACAATAATCTCATCAGGGGTATGCTTCACTAATTAGTTTGTCTCTTACAAGTCTATTCTGGCCATACTATTTTCCTAATGCAATAGTGTACCATCTCCCTCCCGTGCTTGGTTTTAAATAATGTTTTTAGAATAAATTCTATAGTTAGTCCTTTAAAATTGGAGGTTTTCCATACTTAGTCCTCTATTACCAAATATTACGTTTGTGGTCCTTTGTTTATGCGTACCTTCCACGGATAATTCTTTTGTTTGAACTTCTGTCATGTTGGTGTTAAATTGAAGACTAAAAGTTTAATTTCACATGGGCCCTACATCCTTTTTGTCATAGACAATACTAGATATCGCTGCTTATGTCTAGTTTGTGTGTTGGAGTCGCCGCCCAGTGAAACCATAGTCCACATCTGTCGCTGGTCGGAATCAAAGTTTGCGGCCATAATTGTTTGTTGTGTTGTTCGTCAAGACGACACCAAAATATATGGCCAAACCTAGGGTCGATGTGAAATTACACTTGTAACCCTCTATTTAACACCAACATAACCTATGTTAGAACAAAAGACTATCCGTGGGAAAGTTCCCATAAACGAAGTACCACACATGTAATATTTGGTAATAGAGAATAAATATGGAAAACCCCCAATTTTAAAAGACCAATTATAGAATTTACTCATATTTTCATTTAATGCGTCATCTCCTGTTCTAAAACAGTTGCTTGGCATGTGAATGATGCAGCTTGATTTTAAAGTTGACGACATCCCACCATCAGACTTCTATTATGACATGGAATACTGTGTTGATTATTCAACCTTTCGTAACTTGCCAACTGGTAAGTTAACACAGACTTCCATAATGCGTTGTATAAATATGTTTCTAAAATATGGCAATTCCTTTATAGGCAGGGGTAAGGTCTGCGTACACCAGCCCTCCCCACAACCCACTGGTGGGACGTTAATGGGTTGTTTCTAAAATATGGTAATTGCAGCAGTCTGTTCAGTCCGTAACTCAGAACTACCTTCATTATTTAATGCATCTTACAAGCCCATCACTACTTATCCAGTGGAAAAATTGAATAGTGGTGAACTTGTGAAAGTGGAATTATCACTGCTAGATCTCTATGCTGGATGTGGTGGGATGTCAACTGGATTATGCATAGGTGCCAAGCTTTCTGGTCTTAATCTTGTGACCGTAAGTACAAGCTTAGTAACTATGCCAAAAAAATTTCATTTGCTTAAAATTTACGTAGTTTCAAAATTTTCTTTGTCAAGTTATACTCTTAATTCACCGTTGATTCCAGAAATGGGCCGTTGATTATAAGAAGTCTGCATGTGATAGTCTGAAATTAAATCATCCTGAGACACAGGTAAGATGTTATTCCGGGTGGCAATAACTTGATTGCTGGTTCAGCAAACCTGAGTTAATGCTCAACTACATCATACGCTGTTATAGGTTAGGAATGAACCTGTTGAGCATTTTCTAACGCTACTAAAAGAATGGGAGAAGCTCTGCGAAGATTTTGGATCAACTGGTTCAAATGGTGGCCCTGTTGAAGTGTTAGAGGACACGGAAGAAGTTGAAGACACTTCTATTTATCTGCCTGATTCAGACGATTCAGATGCAGAATATGAAATTCTCCGCCTTGTAGATATCTGTTACGGAGATCCCAATGGTACAGGAAAGCCCTGTATCCATTTTCAGGTATGAATTATATATATATACATACCATACCAACCAACCAACAACCCAGTTAAATCCCACAAGAGTAGGGTCTGGGGAGGGTGTGTGTACGCAGACCTTGCCCCTACTCTCTATATATATACATCCATACCAACCAACCAACCAACAACCCAGTTAAATCCCACAAGAGTAGGGTCTGGGGAGGGTGTGTGTACGCAGACCTTGCCCCTACTCGAAAGTAGAGAGGCTGTTTCCAAAGAGACCCCCGGCTCAACGTCGAAAGTTGCATTGTTTGACTAACTGCTACTTCATTAATTAAAGAAGCGCAGCTAGTTTAGAGATCCATTTTGATTATACATCCATACATATACATAAATACACACACACACATAAATATATGTGTGTGTGTGTGTCTATATATATATATATATATATATATATATTAATCATGTGTTGTTAAATAACAGAACTACCTTTTCGCTGGTGTAAGCAAATGACACCAGTAGCACTGGTGTCATTTTAGACTTACTCATATATATATATATATATATATATATATATATATATATATATATATATATTAATCATATGTTGTTAAATAACAGAACTACCTTTTCGTTATTCAAAAAAGTTCTGATTTTTGTCTTGCAACTTGCTATTTTCTTATGCTTAATGCTAGGAAACTAATTCTTGTTAAATTAAGGGTTAATCACACCGTTTGGGATGAACTTTTACCAGTTTTTATGTTTTAGCAGAAAGTTTAGTAAATTGCAAGGGGTGCATGAACTTTCAAATTAATTGATGACGGAATGCAATTGGGATGTCCTTGCCAGCCACCTCATGCAACTCTTGCAGCGACATCCCAATCAACCAACATAAATTGCATTCCCTCAACCTCCACAATCACCACCATCAAGTTCTTCATCTTTTACCTTGTCGGCCCACTCCATACCTTCCTGTGACCTCCGTGGCGGTGATTGACAAAAACTGTTATCGAAGGGAGTGCATGGAATGGACAAAGCACATTTGACGTGCTAGATCTCCCTCAAATTGAAGGTTCATGCTACATGATGCTATTTAGTAAATGTTGTGCTAGAACTCTAGTATTGGGAAACGACGGCGATATGTGATGCAATTAGACCTACATATAATGGGCTAGACCACTTCCAATCTTAGTATGTATATTATTATAATACTCCCTCCATCCCCAAATTGACCCGACACACATATTTAGGAGATTAAAAAAATTGTATTGACTTTCCTATATTGCCCTTCTACACTATTCATCAAGTCTAATGTCCGCTGCTGCTTGTACAAAAAAATTGATTGAATATAGAGTCGTAAGGAACACTGCCGTTTAGAACACCACCATTCAAAACACCATCGTCCGGCACTACTACCTTTCAGTCTGGAACCCTTTTATCTTTGAGTAGATCTTGTTCATGGAGTAGATCTTATAAAGCATTAAAGCTAGAAACGTGACAGCCTGACTGGAAAAGAAGCAAAAATTGCTCCGGGATACCCCTGTTTTGTGGTAAGAACACCCAGGGGACAATATTATAAAAATAATTCTAGGGTTCTTAAAATTTGTGGTAATGTATTCCGAGTGTACATTCCCTGCAAAGGACCGTTAGAAGTGAAAAATCTGTTAGTTTGACCCTAAATTTCCTACTTTACCCTTATCATAATTACTCTGGGTACCTCAAGTTTATACTAAAAACTCGCAGGTCCTTATTGTTCCTTTCCAATGAATCTTCTGTCTATTTCCGCCACACCTTCTTTCCAGCGAATCCAGATCCAATTATCTTCTATTTCTGGCTAACATTCTTTTGGCAACAATCGTCCAAAACCAATACCACCCAATTGACTCCTCTGCTCATAGAGTGTTGCTTTCTTTGTTTCAATCCCTCTGAACCCATCTAGATAGTCTAAACAGGAAAGACAAAACATTGTAAAACTTAAAAACAGGAAAAAAATATAAAAACAAAAAACCTAACCAAATAAAAAAGAAAAAAGTATTTTATAAAATAAGATACTTATAGTAATTTAATTTAATTCTGATTGAAAGAATTAAAAGTCTAAAAAAAATTTTTATATTCTTTTACATTCTTCTTTTTTATTGCATTTTTCTACCCTGAGTATCTTTTTATTTTGCAAATCATTAACTATTTTCCTTTTCACAATTTTTATTTATTTCCATGTTTATTCATTTAATGGATCAATAAACTTGAAAATGAATTAATTTTTTTTAAAACGCACTCATACTTCATATATTTAAGAAACATAAAAATGGATTTTTTTATTAAAGGGATTTTTTGTTTACTCATATGCGTCAAGTTCATACTCTGCATTTTTTCGTGAGACTCCGAGGCCTCCAATGTCTAGAACATTGGACTTTCCTCTCATGGCCGGAGATTCGCCAGAAAGAAGGTTTGGTAAAAATAGATGAAGAAGATTCACCACAAAGGCACAATATTGACCTGCAAGTTTTTAGTATAAAATTAGGTACCCGAGAGTATTTATGATAGGGGCAAACTGGAAAATCTAGGGTCAAACTAACAAGTTATTCACTTTTAACAGCCCTTTGGATGAAATGTACCCTCACCCTTAGAGTTATTTTGGATAATTTGGTACCCCCGGAGAATTTTTTTTGGAAAAATAAGCATTAAAGGCGAGGTAGAAGAAGAATTGAAGGGAGGGAGATGCATATCGTGGTGGTGGTGGCGATCTACAAATTTGAAGGAACAAGTATTAAGGGGGGGGGGTGTAAGATGAGTCAAAAGGAAAAAAGATAATTTGCCTAATACGGAAATGATAAAAAATTTGGACAGACCAAAAAGGAAAGTGGGAAGAAATTTCTCGGTTGGAGGGAGTATAAACCTTCCCCTCAAGCTGGAGCATCATATGTTACTAGCTTATTAGTTTGATTCAACCTTTGAGTATCATTGGTTTGACCCAACTGTATTGTAGCCCATTTGAATATCCCCTACCTAATTTAAAATTTTCACTAATCATTTCTATTTGGCAAAGAATCAAAACTGTTGAAAATGTTTTCCAGAGGGAGGCTATGCTAATGGTGTTTGTGGCTCAATGATCGGCTCCTCTAGTCTTCCTACACCGGGCTTCTTGGAAATGGGTTGCGACATATCTACGAACCGTGTGGTTGTACTTGTCATCTGTACAACTATATGAGAAGGCCTAGAAAAGAAGGGGCAGTACTATGTTTTCTCAATGATTGGAAGAGACTGAAGAGGCTCGAGTTTAGAATCTTTTGAATACCTAGGGCTCAATTATGTACCATATTTATTGAGGTGATCCATCTTAGCTAAATATTAAGTTATCCAGGTTCATCACCTAGTGACACAACAACACTACCCCTAGTGCCTCAAAGGCTCACCCGCTCATTGCGGGGCAAGGGGGGTCGGATGTACGAGCCCTATGTTTAAAACGTAGAGCAGGTTTTTCCAGATGACACATGATGAGCGTCGAAAGTTGCGTTAACTAACTGCTACATCACTGAAGCGTTGACATTTTAAAGAGCCAATCTGCTTTATTCCCTCATACCCAAAGCCCAAAAATAATGAACGCGTGGCTCGATTGGAGATTATGGAACAAAGTAAATGTTAAATTGAAGATTGAACTCAAGATTCACTTTTTTCCTTTTACGTTTGACGGTTGTCCCAAATAAATTCTATCTTTCTTGTAAGGAAAAGAATATGCGGCTGATATTTTTCTTTATTTTCTAAATAAATCTCAACCACACAAGCTCTACTATCATAGACCTTTTGCAGAAGCAAATGTAATGTTAAATTGGAGACAATGAAGTATAGTATTACATGGGAACATATTCTTATTTTAAGAACGCGCGGAGCTCTAAACCTAGAAAAGTATAGTTCAGTTACTCACATAAATTTTTTAACTTAAAACTTGATTTCTTGCAAAGACTTATATCATGTTTATACATGAAAATAATGGGCTCTAAGTGTAAGAGGTTAGACCCTGTGGTTTCTATTTCTATAGTTAAACATAGACCTGGTGAAACAGACCGGACCTGGTGAAACAGACCGGACCTGATAACCCAAACCGAACCCGGAACCGAATCCGAAATGACTCGAAAATTGAAGAACTGAATTAAACCCGAACAACCAAAATGATCCGAACCGAACCGAAATCGAACCAATTGTATTCAGACCCGATTTAGATCTGGATCTGATTGAACCCGAACCAGTTAGACCCAAACAAATTAAATCCAGAACCGATTAGACCCAAAAACCAATTAGACCCAATATTGATCAAATTCAAAACAAATTAAACTCAAATCCAGACAAACCTTATAGCTCATTGGTTGATGTCTTTCTAAGAAAAACATATTTGAATTATAAGTCCAATTGATTTAATGTACAAATCTTTACTCCGTATTTTATCGCTTAAACTAAGGTTGTTGTCTATTTTTCTAGAGAGTTTATATAATTTATAGTGACATAGTAACACACATTAATGGATATACTAGCTCATTATTGCTGACACTTGTATATATACTCCTTTACACATAGGGAGGAGAGGCTACACAGAAGGCTAACATTAGGAACTCTAATACCAAGGGATCTCATCTGAAACCGGTATAAACCCGACCTGGTTTAAACCCGAATCGGCATAAACCCAAACCGATATAAACCCGATCCGAAACCGAACCAAAACCGGAAAAAAATCAAACAGAATTTAACCCAAAACCGAACCAAACTGACCCGGCCGAACCGATTATTACATATATCCCAAAGAGACCCGATCCGAAAAGATCCGAACCGGAACTGAACCAATTGACTCGATTGCCAAGTCTAGTTAAACATATCTAAGAGACACTTGAGTAGTTGAAAGTGTAATTTGCTTTGGAATTATTATTGAAGAAAGAGAAACGAACATAAAACAATCATGGAAGAATTATTTGTTGGTTACCATGAGCAATTCTAGAACATTTTGAGTTCATAACAATATTCTTTACTGCAAGGTGATACACTGATATGGCCAAATGGGACATAAAACTAAAGCTATTTTCATTATCATTGAAGAATCACTGATTTGCAAAAGTTCTGCTTCAGCAGCAATTTCTTTGTATGGATTGCATCATGCTGGCTCCATTGATGGATACATCAGTTTTGTGACTTGAGTAGCTCGTTCTCCCCTTTTCAGTGGTGTCAAATTTGTCTTGCTTAAGCATTCTACGGTGAAACCATTTGACCTTGCCATCTGATTAGGTACGCTGGAAAGGGTTTGGACCTAGTGAAGACACATGGGAGCCAATTTATGGGTTGAAGTAAGTAAAGGTTTACTTTACTTGGCTAGATTTTACTGTGATTATGTTCCACACTTTTCCCCATCTTTCTTCTATTCCATGTAATTCCAAAGAACCATTGTGAATACCCCAAGTCTCGAAGTTGTAAGTTCTAACATGTAACAACCAGCTAAGTAAATTGCTACTAAATTTTGAAATGGGAAGCCTATGGTAATAAGGAAAATTAAAAAAAAATCTTAAGAACCAATCATCTTTTAAGGGGTATAATTAATTTGATATGAATAATTTTAATCTTTTCCTCTATCATTCATGGCTTTTAGGCCAAGACTGTTTTATGATATTATGCTTTGGGATGTGAACAAACAATTGGTTCATATAATGAATATAAATTGCAATTGATTGGAATCTTTAGATGGATATAGGTTAATCAGTAAATATCATTCTAAAAATTCCTTGATTCAAAGCCATGCAAAAACACTTTCAAGGACAAGTTGAGAAAGAGAAATATGCATTGATGTTATTTCTGGATTCGTACGGTATTCCAATGTGTATATTGAAAGGAAATGTTGGATCATTTTAGTAGTAGGAACTAGGAGAGGGAGATGTACAGAGAATTTATTAACTTAAATTACTATGTCAAGGGCTTTGATTTTTAGAGTTTGTGAGAACTGACTCAAAGTTTAAAAAAATCTTATAGCCAGTTTCAAGTTAAATAGATATACAAATTTGCTGGTGTGATATCTTAAGGGTTAATTTCTATGTATGTTTTTGGAGAGTAGACTTTGGAGAACTTAAGACCCGTTCTCTTCGCCTAAAACTGAAAAAAGAATGTGATTTATTCTAAAAATATACACATTAAGATCTAGTCTGGATTGATTAGAACTTTTGTAGTGTGGTTTAAATATCTCAAGTTTGATCTAGTGTTGTTTGAATATTTATGTTCTAATGTTTTCTGTAACTGTTTTTAATATTTTTAATTTTCCGTTTGAAATAAAACATCTAGTCTATGAAGTTTGACACATTAAACTTTCTTGGTTCATACTTCTTGCAAAGTTTTGGGCAGTAATTGCAGCAATGCATCAGCCATAAATGGTCTAACAGAAGCAGCCTCTCTTCTTTTTACACAAAAGTACAGTTGCGTACACATCTTGACCTCCCAGACCCCAATGGACTTGGGAGAATACTGGGTGAGTATTTTAGATCTTCTCTGGCCTCTGCATCTTTCAGATGTATCTGAGTCTTTTGAATCTCAATCTTCTAATCGTATATGATAAAATAAGAACAAATAATACTCGCATTGTCCCAAATTCTCTCCAGTTTTCGTAACCATGCACTAATGGCCATTAGTGACGAGTTATTGATTGCAAGTGGTTCGTAATGTTACGTATCGGGTCAAATTTTGTCTCGTTTAGTTGGAGATTAACAGTACGTTAACTCGGTAATAAAATGGACTACTTCAACCATTACGTAAAAAATAATAGAAGATTGATCCAAAGAGCATAAAGACAATTCGCCCGACGCCTGAGGACTGCATTCAGTGGCAGTGGCACATATAAGATTTCATCTCGTAACCCCCATAATAGATTTTAATAAGCTCATCAATGTTCTTCTTTAAAAGGGAGTGAGTTATGCGCTAAGTTTCCTATTTGCGACAAACTTCCACACAAACCTAACCATTTCTTCTAGTCAACGGGTCAATTTTGAAAACCAATTCCTCATTCACTCATTAACCATTTTTGGAGTATAATATATCAAAACATTCGTCTACTTAACAAAGCACATGTCCATCAAATAACAATTAAGATCTAGTGGATCCAATTGATAATTAAGCCCAAAAATTGCTGCTTAAATGCCTATTTTAGCCAAAATTTATAACAATCCTCCACATGAATGAAAATTTAATTTGGAGATCGACAACATCCCATGGTTGAAAAACCTGCAAAGAACAGGTAGGTGTCTCCCCCTTTGAGCTTGTCCCTGATAAGGTATACTTTCTTTACCTGTTGTTGAGAAGATTGGGATGTGTTTGAGTTGTACTACCATTGGTCTAAATGATAGTATATCATGCACAAATTCTAACTAGACGTCCTTAAGTCGTTATGTTCTCATGGTCATCCCCATTTTGGTCGTGGGACACGTGCCTTGTAATGCGGCACATGCCCATTAGGTTTGAAGCGACCCCACCTCACTTTTTTTGTAGTTGTTTTTCTAAAAGTATGTATCCCGATTACTCTTCTTAGATCGTTGTGTCTAATGTTCAAGAATCATTAAAGCATATAACATATGTTACCCACTTTATTTTCGGGAATCACTATCTTAAGCAAGAACAAATGGGAATTGCTGGATACAAGCTCCTTTAATAGAGTGATCGTGTTTCATTCAACAAGTAGGTTGTCTCATTGAACTTGAATACTAGTCAAGTTGGATTTTTCTTCATAGCACTTTCTTAGGAAAAGGGCTTCAAGCTCATTCCTATTACCAACTTCTCATTCAACTCATGTGTTAATCCTTCGATTAGTTGTAAGGTATCTCTTGACTTCACGTATACTATAATGATAATCCCAATTGATAGAAGTTGTCTAATGGTATGTCTTTGATGAATGTATTTAGACTTACTATTATACATGTTCTTTGTTCATCCTATTGTAGAGTGATAGTCACAATAGATGTAAATCAGTCAGACCAGTATGTCCCATCTTGGAATGTCCTCTATGATATGGAACATCCATTCAACTCCCTCTTCACACTTATCTAGAAGTCTAGAACTATGAACTCATACTCCATGGTGGACCTAACTATTAATGTTTACTTTGAGATTATTCAAGATATAGCCACCTGCTATCATAAAGATATATTGACTCGTGAGTTTTGTCTTCCATATCAGATATCCAGTTCACATTCATGCATCCATCTAGTACCACAGTATACAGTAGGTATCTCATCACCTTTAACTGTAACCTTCTAATGTTTCATACTTGGACTATTGATATATCTACTCAAGTTGTCGAAAGTATAGGCTAAGTCCAATTGAGTGCAATTAAATCTATCCAAAACATTTACTCTTTTAGCTATTTTAATTCGAAGAATTACTTACCTATGTCCTTCATGTTTAGTATATTTAATTTTTTCAGTGTTACCCACTATGAGTATGTCTATGTACTAACATAGAATGGCATAACACAAAGCTAAGTTTTTCACATAAATTTATTTCATTCATTGATTTTTAAAGCCAAAGCTAATCATCACTTTGTCATGCTTCTCATGTTATTATCTTGGCATTTGTTTGAGGCCGTACAATGATATATTAAGTTTATGGACTTTCATTTTCTTTCCTTCCGTGAACCTTAATCCTCTCAGGTTATTAAATGTAGATCTCTTCGTCTAGATCTCCGTTAAGGAAATCTGTTTTCACATCCATTTGATGAACTTCGAATTTTCACAGTAGAACCATTGCAAATACCATCCAAATGGATTTTATTTTCATCATAGGATAATAAGTATCAAAGTAATCCCAAAGCCCTCTGCCCTCTCACCGACTATAATCTTTAATTTAAGTCTACCTTTGTATTGATCTTGGAACCATCGTGTTTAATTTTTCTTTGAAATATCCACTTCCAATGTAATGGTTTGCAGCCTGGACTTAGGTCAACTAACTCCCAAGTGTGATTCTGCAAAATTAAATACACTTCAATTTTGATGGCCTCTTTTGACTAAGCTCTAGAAATTGGTGCATCATTAAAAATTAAATTTATATACTCAAGAACTACATCAAAAGTTCTACAAAGCAAGAGGTGGCTTGACTATTTTATTTTATCAAATGATCAATGAAAATATGTAAGAAAAGGTGTAGCTTGACCCTTTGAATATTGAATACTAAAGTGGAACATGAGTTTTGGAAAAAGGGAGTGCGAAAAAAGATTAAGATGAAGAGAACAACAAATCCTGATAAATAGAAAGTTTTTGGAAACAAATATAGGATGAGTAACATTTTAAAATTATCACCTACTATGCTATCCCTTAAATTTTTCTCAAATCTCAAATTCATATCAAGGTGCATAGCACACTAACCCACTAACCCCCAGGCAAAACCTTCCAATCCCTCCATCCAAACTGACCTTAGAGTCTAGAAGACGGGTGTTTTGATCGGCATAAATTATATTTGAGTCTTAAATAGTGTATTGATGGGTTTGTGTCTGCTATAAGCTTCTGTTTCTTCCTGTCCCAGAAATTCTAAAGAGAGCATCCATGATTTTGTGAGAAGGGGAAAAAATTCTAGAATTCTACCTCTTCCGGTAATTATCCTCTTTTACTGCAGATTTCCATTGCCTCACTGTAGTAAAAATTATTAGAAGTGTCTAATTCTGCATTGCAATTCAATGATATCTGTTAGGGTGATGTTGATGTGATATGTGGGGGCCCCCCTTGTCAAGGTATTAGTGGCTATAATCGCCACAGAAATGTCAATGCCCCATTGGAAGATGAAAGAAATCGCCAAATCATTATATTTATGGATGTTGTTGAATTTCTAAGGCCTAAGTATGTCTTCATGGAGAATGTGCCTGACATACTGAGGTTTGATAAAGGCTCTCTTGGACGATATGCTTTAAGCCGTTTGGTACGTGTGAGATACCAAACAAGGCTTGGCATTCTTGCAGCTGGTTGTTATGGTCTTCCACAATTTCGATTGCGTGTTTTCATATTGGCGGCACTTCCCAGTGAGGTATGTGTTTTTCTTTCTTTTGGATGAAAACATGACGGATGTGGTCTCTTGAACCCACGTACACATGTATTGGGGGATGGGAGTAATTATTTGTCCATCAATTGGAGCTTAAAAAAGTATTTCCATGTATTATAAGAAAAAGGAAAATGTGTAGTTATAATGAATGATTTGAAGTTAAAAGAAATTCCATAACTGGTTTTTTGTAAGTACCGTATTAATTAACCACTTAACACACAGTCATTGACAGGAGAAGACTTGTCTCCAAGAGACCCCAATTTTGAGATCGTCCTTATCCCAATATAACTTGCTCACACACTCTTCAAAAAATATAAATTATTTTTCTTTTCTCCAGAAATTGCCGCCATTTCCTCTGCCTACACATGATGTTATTATGAGACATTGGCCTCCACCTGAGTTTGAGGTACTCTTTCATATTCCTAGCATTAATTTACAATATTACATTCTCACTTTTTAACTCGTGATTCATATTCTTCCTAGGATTCCTACTTTTAGTAATTTACATGCCAGAATGATTTCTCAAATTTCTTCTTGCAGCGCAATGTTGTTGCTTATGATGAAGGACAACCTCGTGAACTTGAGGAAGCCCTTGTTCTTCAGGATGCTTTATCTGATCTTCCAGCTGTAACAATGACTTGAACATTCTACAATAAAATTCAATTTGACTCAAAACTTTACTTTTTATTATAGTTCTTTTGATGTTTATTCTCAACAATGGCAATCCTTAGGTTACAAGCCGTGAAGTTCGTGAAGAAATGCCATATTGTATGCCTCCAGAATCAGATTTCCAGAAGTATATTCGATTACCTGAACATGGTATTTTCTGTTCTTTGAGGGTTTGTTTTTATGTTATGATTTATTTCGGCTTGCTGTAGGTTATTTGACACAACTATAATGCTTCCAGAAATTTGTATCCCTTCTCTTGCAGTGAATTTGTTGCATTCACTTCATCATACTTTTATTGTTAGATTCCTCCAGCTCTTCTAGTGTCTTCCAACTCCTTCCAGTTTCTTCCAACTCCTAGTTTTTCCAACTACCAGTTTCTTCCAACATCCAACTCTGTTTTTACGAATCAAATGAAGAGAGCCTTAGTTTATACTTTGTAGTACTGCATCTTGCTGAAAATACAAATTACATCTTCCCCAATTTACTTAAAATTCCTGGGAATGTAACTAGTGGGACAGCTTTGAAGGAAGGGAACGCGATGACTATGTAGTCTTTATATACTTCTGGACTCTGGTGTCATTTTAGATGTGTGAATAAGCCTATTCATACTAGGGTCCATATCGATATACACTTATTTTCTACCACTTGATACTTTGGCCGATATGGTAGGCAGTGTTTCACTCTGTATTTTATTCCAGAGATAATGGGGAGCACTACATCTACTCAAGTGAGAGGAATGAAAGATCCTGTCTTATATGATCATCGACCTCGTCTACTCTCTGAAGATGATATGACACGAGTTTCTCTAATCCCACATCGAAAGGTATGATGGATATGGTGGTATTTTTTTAACTACGTCTATGTGCTTGCTGTTGTTTTCTAATATTTTAAGTAACCAGGGAGCAAATTTCTTGGATTTTCCTGGGGTCATTCTTGTGAATAATACAGCTCATCGTGATCCGAATAAAGAACCAGAATTACTACCATCAGGAAGGCCACTTGTGAGCACTCTTAACTACATAGTGTTTAGACAAATTTGCTACGTTTTTTCCTCGTTGATCTTATGCTATATCTTGGCATGCATTCTATAAGGATTGCACACAGTTCACATGATCTGAAATCATTTTTGAAACCTATCATCTCACGATGCCTCAAGGAAATTTGAAAAACACAATTTCTTGCTAATGATCATTCATTTGAATAGGCCAATATAAGAAAATCCTATCATCGTATGTTGGAAAAAGTAACCTTTGTTGAGAATGTTTCGGTTTGGTTCAACAAGTAGTATTGGATAACATATTGAAGTCATTGATACAAATAAGATTGATTCTTTATTTCCTTATGTAGGGGAAAACTAGAATGTAAAATTACATTGAATATGTACTGAATTAAAAAACAAAAAATTGGCACTGATGGCAAACAAAACCATGTATGCATTGACCTGCCCTACGAAGTTTGGAGTTTGGGCTTTGGGTTCTCGATGTACCCCTGGATGGCTCCACCAAAACCCCAAACTCTCCCAACATATCCAAAAGTCATCTTTCTTTTCTTTTATTCAAAATAAAGTCTTTTCCATCCATTTTTAACCCCTGGTCAAAAACGAGATCAAAGGAAGGGAAAATAAGACCTTAGTTTCTTGTTTTCATCTTTTAAAGTCTTTGTTAGCCAAATAATGTCTTCCCCTCTTCTTCCTACATTAGGGACAAAATTCCAGCCCCTTTTTGTTCCTAAAATCAAGCCCAAATCCCACAACCACACAAATGGACAAACAAAGCAGCAAAGTCTTTGAGTGAACAGTACTTGTTTTGTCTTTTGAAACCAAAAATGACTCCACCTTTTCTCCTTTTCATATAGGGCCGAATTTCCCACCTTTACAAGTCATAAAGGGAATAGTTTAACCTTGTCATATTCCCCTTAAAATCCAAAGCTATCTCCTTCCTTGAATTTACTCACTACCAGCCAAACCACACACTCAAAAAGGCCAAAGAATACCCCATCACAGCCACATAATCTCTTCTTTGATACATGGCCGAAATACAACCCAAAACAAACTCAATAATATCTTCATAATCCACACACAGTATTTCCTTTCATTTCCTTACTAAAGGCCGAGATAATGGCTCCCTAATCCAGCCAAGGAAAGTCCACTAAAGGTTGATAAGCACATGGTGGTTTGTGAGAAAGAGATTGGAAGCTGCCTTTGTTGTTATTATTGCATTTATCCCCTCTTTGCTATGTATATATACGGCCCTATGGCCTTTGTAATGAGGCAGCTCAGATTATTGAAGGAAAAGTTTGTGTTACTCTTTGAGTAATTTCATTAAAATAGTGTGAAGCTATTTTAACCAAATTTCCTAATGAAATATCTCTAAAGTTGGCTACTTTTGAGTGCGTGTTAGGAGTCTATTTTATACATTAGTAGTGATTATTATTGTGTGAAATAGATAACAGCCCCAAATATAGTAAGAGTGTGTTTATCTCTTATTCATTATTTGGTTTATCCATCCTTATTTTCTACCCATTTCGTTCTTCTCCATTTTCTCTTCCTAAACCACATTCTATTCTATCTTCACAAATCAAAATACCAAAAAAGAACTCCTTCATCACCTCCATTTTCCACCCAGCCATTTCAAACAATCGATTATCACTCAAGTGATAATCGACTATCGGACATCTCTGAACATTCGTGGTTTCGAAGTCATATCTTGTTAATCGATTATCAGAGAGTGATAATCGACTATCACAAGCTTCTGAACTTTGGAGTTCAAAGTTGTTTCCTTCTTGCTTCCATTTCCTTCGTAAATCCACCATCAAATTAATTACTTGATAAGACCCCGGGTCTCGGGTACAACACTGTCTCTTGGTCAACCGGTTTGGTTCTAATTTGGATCTGTTTGGAATTGGCACTGATGGCAAACAAAACCATGGACTCACTGACCTTCTTGATTTCCTTTTTTAGGAATATATACTTTTATACTAGTTTTTTATTCACAAACTGAAATAAACCAAAAAATCCCTTAAAAATCAAACTGAAACCAATACAAACATTAATTTTAGTTTCGTAAACTGATCTGCAAATAACATCAAATCAACTTTAATTTGAAATCAATCCGAATCAAGCCAAGACATTTGGTTTCACTTTGGTTCTATGTTCTCCAACCTGAACACATAAAAAAACTGAATAGTTATCGAATTTTACAAACACTAGTTCGTAATGAAAATTGTAACATGAAGGTTATCCGGCTTGAAACATGCCACTTTTTCATTAATTTGGTGTTAGTTTTATTCTCCCTCCGTCCCATAAAACTTTTCCACTTTAGAAAAAGATGAGATGCAAGGAATGTGTAATTTTGGTGTTACTTTTCAATTTTGCCCTTACTTTTTGTTGGGTAGGATAGGATGTGATAGATAGATTAATCGTGAATAAATATGACGTGATAGGTAGGTTTATTATTACTTGGGATAAATGAGAGATATTAATTGAAAGTGGAAGTGTTTCTTGGGACGGATGAAAACTGAAAGTGAAAAAGTTTTTTGGGACAAAGAGAGTACAAAATAAACAACCAATCTAGTAAAATTCCACTTTTGGGGTTTGGGATAGGTGGGTGTATGCAAACCTTACCCCTACAGCCCTACACAAGAAAGGTAGAGAGGTTGTTTATCTGAGACCTCTAGCTCATGCATAAGAGATTAAGGTTACTTTATTTCATACAAATTAATGATAAATTAGGTAGAAAGGCCATTTTCAAGAGAACTCGGCTTAAGAACAGAAGACAAAGGTTTCTTAATTTTGTACGATCAAATAATTTATTTGCACTATAAATTTAAACCCACCTACCTAAAGTAGTTGTGGCACATAACATTTTGGATAGCTTTTTGCCTAAAAGGAGATTTTTGAGGTCAATGATTGGTCGGTCAAATAGACCTTGGACGTGTTTGATAAACAAGTTTTTGAGGCATCTTTTTGGTCTTAAAAATGTTGTATTACAACAAGCTTCATTCTTAAGCTTTTTCTAGAATAGGTTTTTTCTTCATCTACAATAATTTGCATTAAATACTCTAAGGTTGTGTTCTCTTCAACTAATCTGATCTAATCTGAACTTAAATTTTTAAGGCTGATCTAAATGGATCTGATCAGATCTAGATCTGATCTGATTTGGATAGATCAAATTCAAATTTAAATTCAAATAATAATAATAATTTATTATTAATTATTACTCCTGCCGTCCTTGAGTATTTGTCCACTTTTAACTTTTTCGGTCAAAATTGGTAAACTCTTATCGCAAATTAAATAAAAATGATATTAGAAATTGATACAAAACTAGTTTCATTAGTTTTATTGTATAAAATATTTTCAAAATATTATTTTATCTAATTAATATACAATATATACTTTATTTTATTATAGGTCAAAGGTTGAAAACAGTTGACTGAAAAAAGTCAGGGACGAAAGGTAGTATTAATAATTATTTATTATTATTATTATTATCATTATTATTAAGTGTTATGAATAATGATGATCATCATTATTAGTTATAATTATAACTAAAATAATAATTATTGTTGAACTCTACTATTATTATAATTAATAAATACTAATCATAATAATAATTATTATTATATGTACAAATACATATTATTATTAATATTTATTATCATTATTATTAATTTTTATTAGTTAATAATAATAATGATTATTTTTATAATTTTAATTATTATTATTATTTGTTACTATTACTGTTATTATTATGTATGATGATAATAAATTATTATTATCATTAGTTATTATTATTATCAATTAATAGTTAATAATGATAATAATAATTACTATTGTAATTATTATTATTATTATTATTATTTTAAATTTATTTAGTTTTAAATACTTTTCTGGTCTGAATGGATTTGATCTGATTCTAATAAGAAGTAATAATAAGTAGCAAAAATAAGTTGTAGAGAACGGGACGTACAGAAACAAATCATTTTACCAAACATTTTTTCCTAAACAATTTTCACAAAGTGATTCAAACATTGAACATCTTTTCAAATAGGTTTCACAAATGGTTTGCACAAACCTCTAATAGCTAGCAGGTAATGCCAAAAAAGGTTGAAGTTTATACGTTTTAAAATGTATCTCAAATATAGTTAATAACATGCTTTTTTTCTATTTTAACTGTATGTACAATATATAGGATACATGATTTTTTTTGTATTCAAATTTTAGAAGTTATATAAGCATTTTCAAAATATTGTAATAAGCAATTATTTAATCTAGTTTTTTTATTAATAAGCTTTTGTGATAAGGCGCATGTATTCTTATATGGACCTTAAGTCCAAATAGAAACACACTTGAATAATATGGTGTTCTTTTAATTGTAGGTCCCTGATTGTATCTTCACTTTTCAGCAAGGGAAGTCTAAGAGGTGCAACTTCTTAAAGTTCCTTATCTTCCTTTATTTGTTTCTTTATAAAATATTCTGTTGAAGTTCTTCAGTTCTCAGGCCATTTGCGAGATTGTGGTGGGATGAGACAGTTGCAACCCTAGTGACTTTCCCCAATTGCTTCAGCCATGTATGTTCTCTAATTTTGAAGTATTAATTATATTTCAAAGTTATTGAAGAGGTCTTTAAAATGGGTAGTCAAAATGTATTGAAGAGGTGTTTTCTTATTTTTCAAAGTATTATATTTATACCTCAAATGTATTTATAAATTTCGGGGTGGGGGTGGGTCCCTGCCACTCTAGAGGCTTTCATGGTCTTACTAAATACCTTGAATTTATGCAGGCCATTCTTCATCCTGATCAGGACCGAGTTCTCACAATACGTGAGTATGCAAGACTACAAGGGTTTCCTGATTTCTATAGATTTTGTGGTACAATCTCCGAAAGGTAAACCACTTGCCACAAAAATGGAGCATTAGTCCCTACTCCGAGAATTGCACGAGTTTACATAAATACTTCGATATTCAATATATGACATCAATGCTCCCAAAATTTTTCTATATTCACATCGGTGCTCCGAGAAGTGATATGTGTTTACATCAGTGTCCCAACATTTGGAGCATAGAAGTAAACAAAAATCAATTCTCGGAACAACGATGTGAATGTAGGAAAACTTTGGGAGCATTAGTGTCATTTAACAAATCTCGGAGTATTTATGTAAACTCGTGCAATTCTAGGAGTATTAGTGTGAATTTTTCCTATCAGTTTCTATGTTCCATTTTGTTCTAGTTATTTATGGGCTACAAATTTAGTTCTTTGATTTATGTTAATTAGTACAGTAATAGTATATAGATTTATGTATTTAAGACTACAATACAAATTCTATCAGGCTCCGTTTGGTAACACAAAAATTATGTGGATTTGGAATTGGTAGTGCAAAAAATGAATTGGAATTGGTGAATTCAATTCTATGGAATTGAATCCCATGGAATTTTAATTCCAATTCAATTCCAATTCCATCAATTCCGTGTACCAAACAGACCATCAAAGGAAAGATAAAAGTGAATATGAGATATAAAAATGTTGTTTTAGAAAATGAACAAAAACAATGGAATTAAACCATTTTATCATTCCATAGGTATTAGAATACGTTCCAACATAATAGCTGGCTTAGAACATATACACTGTCTCAAAGCCCCATCATTTTTATGCGACACAGGTACTGCCAACTTGGAAATGCAGTTGCCATTCCCGTCGGCCGTGCCCTTGGATATGCACTTGGAATGGCTTTCCAGAGCTTAACTGGCGATGAACCGCTCATAAAATTGCCACCAAAGTTCGCATTCTCAAAGCCTCCAGTTGAAGAAATAGTGGAACAAAATAGATTCTCTGGTTGTCAAGCATAGAATCATAAACGTGTTCGGTTTTTTTAATGTACTATTAGACTCGCATGTATTTAGGTTTTTCATGTATTGTAAGAAATGTATTTAGGTTATTGTTGTATGTAGTCTAATTTTTCCCATTCTTTCCTGACTTCTCCTATTCAAGGGGCATGGTCAAATTATATCCGTAGATAATAATCATCACACTAATTGTTGTTGTAGTTATTTATGAGATAGTCTCGTAAAAGACATCTTGTCGGTGGTGTTGTAGTTCTTCCAATGTGTACTAATAATGTAAGCACTATATCTCCAACTTGTTTTGAAGAATAGACATCTTTCTTTGTATAACGCCTGCTATGTTTATTTCCTTTTGAATAACACTCCCACTACACACTTTTCAGTTATATACTCATGTTTACATCTTTGTTTGTATACAACACCTGTTTAGTTTATTTCATTTTGAATAATGCTCTAACTACGACTTTTAAGTTACATACTTCCTCCGTCCCGTTTTAAATTGCCCGTTTTGACTTTGGACATATTTAAAGAAGAGAAAAATTAGAGTTGACTTTTTGAAATTGTCATTACTTTTTAGGAGGGATGACAATGAATAAGAAGATAAGGTGGAGAAGAGTGACTTATTTTAGGAGTAGTTTAGGTATTTTACTCTTAAAAGTTTAAGATAACAAGAAACAGACAACTTATTTTAAGACGGAGAAAAAAGAAAAATAGATAATTTTAAATGAGACAGAGGCAGTAGTTTACAAAATTGGGTGTTAAAAACCTCTTGCAAAGATCTTTCTACATTTTCTTTTTAGACTTTCCCAAATGAAATAAACTTTGTTTTTCTAAAGAAATAAACATGTGGCTCATAAAAAATTTTCTTGAGCAAAAATAACCCAAATTCATCAAAAAAAATTGAGGGGAGAAGAAAAAGCTAAGAAAAACAATTTTAGTATTTGATCAAAAAGTTAAAGAAAAGAAAATTTAAAGAAAGAAAAAAATTGGTATTTGAGAATAAACATCTCGGCATACTATATGGTATCGTTGCATATACCGTACAAAATGCCAAATTTGTAATTAAAAAATATTTCGAAAGAGCATTGTGTTGTTTTAGATTTAACATCATATTGTTTTAGAATGAACGTAATATTGTTTCAGAACAAAAACTAGATTGTTTGAGAATCAGAGCAGGCTTGGAATGAATACTACGTTGGTTCATAATAAACACTGCATTGTTTGTAAATGAAGATTAAACGGAGTAATTGTAATAAACAAATGTGCGAAAAGGAATGCTATGTTGCTTCGGGAAGAATACTACGTTGATTTATAATGAACATTTGATGTGTGTATGTAGTTCTAGGTACACTCGGATGCATAATATAGGCTCTCAAACATCTCATCCTTTCATTTGTCCCCTCAAAGCCCCCCCCCCCCAAGCATCCTCGGCTCTACCCTCTCTCCCTCCCTTTTCACCACTCTCACACCTCCACACTACCCACTCTCACCCTACATTCTTAGCCTTCATTTTTTTTGAGTGCTATTAACTCTATTTAGGCCTGTCCAATCATTTTGAAACGCCCTATACAAACGAGTAAGGCCTTGAGATTAAAAAACTAATTCATCGAAATAAAAATTGAATTATTTAGGATGCAAAAATCACTTATCAAATCAATGGTAACACTAAGATATGTTTTCAAACAACGCTCCATCTTAACAATAGTGAAAAAAACACAATAGAGATTTTTTATTTGGCTCTTCTAAACCATTTGCAAATTAAAAATGCTAGTAACAAACAAAGAATTTACAAAAATCACAAACTTACTTTATTAACATCTCACTATGAACAAGATGCACTCAAATAATTAAAAATGTATAAAATTTAAATAGTAACATTAGCATTTCTATTTACGAGGAAGTTTGCAAGTGTAGTGAGTCTTGAAAAGGAAGATATGCTAAATAAGAAGTAGAAAGTAGTTATCTCAAACTATGTGAAAAGCACTTCTAGAGCATAATTTACACTTTTGAAGTGACAATCCACAATCTAAAGCTAATTGGAAAATACTTAAAATTGTGTTTCAATGAAGTAGAAGGTTAAAGGCTATTTCCAGTCATACTCTGAAACACACTCTACAAATGAAATTGTATTGTCTACTGATAAACTCGTTCTACACCTAATTTTATCTTCACATTTAACATATTTTTGGATCCATAAGATTAAACTATATTTTTCAATTAAAAGTTATCTTTTAATAATTAAACTAGAAGAATTGGATTGGCCAAGAAAAGATATAAATATGTCAACAAGAAATTAAGTATATCTTTCTATTGGAGTGGAATTTAGAAGTCGGTGCAGAACGAGATTTTAAGCAAGAAAGCACTGACGAACCGGAGTGGCGCAGCAGGCGGCCTGGCTGCGAGGCCGCTTGGCCGCCGGTTAGATGGTGGCAAGAGGCAATCAAACGAGCAGCAGCGGCATATTTCGCAGAGGGAGAACTGGCGGGCGCCTTCCTGCCAGCCTGTCAACGGCGGATGGGAGCGACGAGAATTTTCTAGAATTTCGGTAGTGGCGGCGGCGGGCTGACCGGTGGCCGCCGGTCTACCCGCCTGGTGGTCGGCGATTCCTTTGAATACCCCCGGCTCTTCCACTCCTTACCAAGCCCAAGCCTTCTCCATTTAGTTTTCCCCTTTTAGGGGCGGAAATTCCCTTTATTCTCCCAAATATTATATTGAATTTGTGTTATCTAATTTTGATCATCAAGAGTTATTTGTCTAGCATTCGGAGCACTGTAAGTTAGTCTTTTTTTAAATGTAATTTTTATCAAACTTTTTATTAATAAAATATCTTTTTGCTTATTCTAAATGTTGTTGTTAAAGGACAATTGATGATGTTATGCGTTATTATAATAATGTTGAATGCTTTGTTTGAGATTATGAATTGGTAATTATATGGGTTAGGATTTGGAATTAGGATTTAACACATTTAATTTTATCTATTAATTAGTAATTGATTAATTGTTAGAAAATGAATTAAAATTAATTAATTAATTAAATTGTTTTTATTATTAATTAATGCTTGGGAGTTAATCTTTTATCTTGTCTATGAGGTAATGAGATTAATTAAGTCATACATTCCGAACACCTAGAAATAGGCAAGGTTAAAAATAACCGTTCGGAATGGTTTTAACTAATTAATAATACTAAACATTATATTATTTAAATAATTGGAAAATAGTTTTTGCCTTGTCTATGAGAGTTTAGAATTATTTTAGCCGAACATTTTCTAGAATAGTACTGAGACCTAGAAATAAGAGATGTACTGGAAATATAATTATCTTATAATTTAATACTGAGATCTAGAAATAGAAGATGTATTAAATATAAGATTAGCATTTTATGTTCTATATTAAGACCTAGAAATAGGAGATATATTGGATATAAGTGCTATACATTTCATTAATCCATTTGCCGATTAAAAGGTGAGTTAAATTATGTTGAGTCCAAGTTCTGATCCTAACTCATGTAGTTTTTTGATTAGTTATTTTAATGACTTTAATCCTTCATTCCTTTGCACTTTTAAGAAAAACTATTCGACTACAAATTATCCTATGATAAATAATAAAATTTACTATTCCCTTTGTCACTCCTGGAGAGAACGACCCGAGTTCAACTCGGTTATTTATTGACTTACCGCTATACGCAGTTCGTCAAATGGCGCCGTTGCCGAGGAGTGACACGGTTTAGTTAGTTTTAATATTTTCATAGGATTTTTTTAGTCTACTAGTTTTTAATTGCTTATTTGCTTTAGCTTTTTTTATTTACTTTTGATGAATCATTTTAGTAATCAATTTTATAATTCTCATTTTAATGATCTCCCGCCACACCTATATTGTGAAAAATAATTTTTCTCGTGATTACAATGAAAATTATCATTATGAAAATAATTTTTATGAAAATCCACCTATAAGTGAATATGATTATCAATTTAATAATAATAGGTGGAACAATAATGATAATGGTAATTTTGATTGTTCACAAAACTTTCAAGATAATTTTGGTAATGATCTAGGTTATGGAAATAATTGGTATAACAATCCTTCTATGAACTATAATTACAATTCTTACGATTATGAGAATCATAGGAAGAATGATTTTAATAACTTCGATCATTTGCCAAATTATCAAAATAATTATTCTGATTTTTACAATAATCAAAATTGTTGTAATAATCACACTAGATTTTTCAATGAAAATAATTATGAGCAGGTGGATATTTACAATAACTTTGATTACCAAGAGAATTTTCCTTCTCCTTATTCCTCACTTTGCCCTATTAATGATTTTGATGGGATTAATAATGAATTAAAATTGATAAAAAATGACATGGATCGCATTATAAAAAATTTAATTGGGAAAATAGAATTAAAGAACCGAGATATACTAACCTTGACTTTGATGAATTTCTTAAGAAGAAGGGTTTAGTAAACGAAGAAGGTGATCTTTGTTATACTTTTCCTTATTATTCTCTAAATCCTGATTCTAGTATTGAGATTTTCAATAATGAAAAAGAAGATATTCTTAAGGAAATTTGAAATCTCTTTGAATTATAAGAATTCAAACCTAATGAATCTAATAAAATTCATCGAAATGAATGGTTAGCTGATGAATCCGAGGATGATGAAATTGAGGTGGATAGAATTATTGAATCAAACATAGCTCAAGAAGGAACATCTTGTTTAGGCCAACCACCTCAAGATGAGGAATTTGATGAAAACGAATATTATCTTAAACAAGAAAATCATTGGGCTAATTTTGAAGATGAATATCAAGAAACATTGAAAAACTTGCTTGACAAAGGTATTATATTCTTGTCTGAGTAAATTCATTTAAAAATAATGAAAAACACAAAAATGGGTTGGAGGGAATAGTGCCCAAGGAAAGCTCTATTGTTTCTTTGTTGGGTTTAGAAGAGAAAATAGACGAACAAGGACATCTTTGTTTGTCTTTTGAAGAGAAAAATGGAGAGCATAAGAGCGCGATTGAAGCTTGTTTTTTGCAAAATTCCGAGGGCATTGATCATTTAGAGGGCTCTGTTGAACCTAATTCGAATTTATATATTGAAGAGAGCCTCGAAGGAATAATCATTGAAGGAGACCTTGATTCATCATAGAACTTATCACAAAATGAGAGTCTTCTTGAACCACTTTTCATGAAGCCAAACACCCCTAAGCATGTGCCGTTATTGGAATATTTTATACGATGGGGTGTGTTAGATCTTTTCAAAATATTTTTATTCTTCTTTGGCTTCATGAAAACACAAGTCTGCGCCACCTTACGGCGATAATCCAGAAAAATTTGAAGACTCTCATTACATATGATTATTTTACCAAATTTAGGAATAGTAGCGTCAAGCTAATGAGATCAAATTAGTGCTTGTCGGGAGGCAACCCTTCATACACTCCACTGTACACACACTGCACACTTTTTCTTCTTCACTTTATTTCTTTTTGTTTAATCGGTTTCGGGTATTATCCGGTTCGGATCTAATCAAGTTCGGGTTTAATCGGTTCGGATATTATCGGTTTCGGATCTAATCGGTTTCGGATTTAAATCGGATATGAATTATTTAGTTCGGTTTCGGTTCGATTCGGATCATTTCGGGTTTTCGGTTATAGATCGAATCTTCATATTTCGGATCATTTCAGTTTCGGTTTCGGATATTTTGGTTCGGGTAATCGGTTACGATTCCAACTTTTTCAGCACTTTTCCATAAATTCTTCGCGGGCTTCCACATCTCCTTCCCATACATACCCCTCCTCCTTTTGTCATACGTCCGATAGAGCTTCCAGAACATTGTGTAAAGCCAAGAATACCCTTCCTATGAAAGCGCGAAACGGTTCGTGAGAGAGACGAATAATAATGAAAGCCTCGTCTCTCTTTCTCTCTCTTCTGAATATATAATCGCAAAAAGGAAAAAAAAAAGGTTTCAGAGTGCAGAATACGGGGAAAGGTGAAGCAGAAGAAGAAAGAAGTAAAGAAGTGGGTTAGAGTAGTTTCTTCTCTCCGTTCAGCGCAGGATAAACCCTATCTTTTTTATTGTAAGGCATCTTTTACTCCTGAAATGTGCGCTTTGGTTTCAATATCTTGAATGACTAGACCTGAGAACTGCTCCGAATAGCTGTCATTGTTGTGGATTTTAGAGGACGAAAATGTTGAAATAGATTGCACAATACGCGGTCTTTGTTTAATATGTATGTTCTGTTCTTGTGCTTTTAAAATTGGTGACGTTTTTGGGAAACTTTGGAGGCCGTTTCTGATAGATTTTTGAGGTTTTCTTGTTGGGGGTATGAATGCGGGGCATGTTCTTGGTATGATGAGGAAGGAAACTGTTTCTTGACCTTACTCTTATGTTTCGAAGTTGAAGCCGTTGGTCTTTGTTTGAGGTGTGCTGCTTAGTTGAAAGATGGAAAGATGTATGACGATTCTGACGTGATTTGAGAATTACTCTCTGTGATTTCAGCATTAGTGGCTAACTATACTTATAATAAGTTTAGTTCTTTTAATGAAGTGAACTTCGTTAAGTAGGTGATCAGAGAAACATATAGCTAAAGCTTTCAAGTTCTAATTAATTCTGAGGCTAGAGGCCTTACTTGCTTTGCAGGTGTACGCCCAAACTACATAATTCCCTGAAGTTCCTGGTTTGAATCTGAAGATTTGCACGGTAGTGGCTAGGGACTTCCGGCTTGGTAACCATGTCTTCCTTGAGTAGGGAACTAGTTTTCTTAATTCTACAATTCTTGGATGAGGAGAAATTCAAAGATACAGTTCATAAGTAAGTACATACTTTTATATGTTTAATTCAGTTTAATGTTACTGTCTGATGCAAAAAGTGTACCTTGAATTCTATTGATGATTTTGGGTGTGTATAAATTAATCGGAAGACCAACTGCTATTCTCGTTTGCATGTTTTGACTTTTAAGTTATGAGCTATTTTTTTCCCACTGATATCAAGTTTGACATTGCAGCAAAAGGATTTTTTACATTGAGTCATTGATATAATATTTATGAATGTCTAGATTGGAGCAAGAATCTGGTTATTTCTTCAATATGAAATACTTTGAGGATCAAATTCAAGCCGGTGAGTGGGATGAAGTAGAACGCTACTTAAGTGGGTTTACGAAGGTTGAGGACAACCGCTATTCAAAGAAGATTTTCTTTGAAATAAGAAAGCAGAAATATCTTGAAGCTCTTGACAAGTGAGTTTTGTTGTCCATTCATAAATGGGTGTTGGAAGTATCTATCACCATTAACTGATTTAAAATTATGATTTTTTTCTCAGGCAAGATCGAGTAAAAGCTGTTGATATTCTTATAAAGGATCTAAAAGTTTTTTCCTCTTCCAATGAAGACCTTTTCAAGGAGATTACCCAGTTACTGACACTTGAAAACTTTAGGTACATTCATGGAGCACAACACCTTATATTTATCTACCTCAGCATTCTATCTACTTCTAATGACTCCTTGTCATTTATTTCTTCAGGAAGAATGAAAAGCTTTCCAAATATGGGGACACAAAGTCTGCAAGAAATATTATGTTGGTTGAACTTAAAAGGCTCATAGAGGCAAATCCTTTGTTTCGTGACAAGCTCACTTTACCTCCATTTAAAGCTTCTCAATTGCGGACATTGATAAATCAAAGGTTTTACACTAATTTTATGCCACTCTCTATTATTTAATTTACCAAAGTATTTGTTTCCGTGAATCTTTAATATATTTTCTTCAAATTTCCACATTCTTTATAAACTGTTGTTGTTATCTACTTTAAATGTCCACATTCACATATTAATGGAATAATGGTTGCTTTCTTGAATCTTTAATATATTTGGTGCTATCCACTCCCTTTGTTCAATATTATTTGTCTTTTTCACTTTTCATGTCAAACTTTTGACAAATATTCTCTCTAGAAAAATATAAGCAATTTTTTTTTTTAAATAGTACTTCATGTGTCCCTAATTTATATCCCAGCTTGAGCTTTCATGATCTCGAAGGCAACACCTTGACTTATAATATTTTTATTTATACATAAACAAATATTATGAGTATATGATATTCTAAATACTTTGTACTCCGTGTTTGTTTAAGTTTACATTATGACTGTATTTTTTCTCCATATTATGGTCATAGTCTGTACACTTGGACCAAGAAATGTCAACGTGGGACATGAATCAGGGACAAAGGAAGCAGTTTTTTTTCAATACAAATTAATGGTATATTTTACATTTTAATTCATTGTATTTTTCAAAAACAAAGCGGACAATTAAAGAAAACAGAGGGAGTATGTGCTATCAAGTTTCGTGCCTTTTATATTCCACCCTTAACTGGCAACATCAACTCTGCAAGAACCCACGCCCAAACCCTGATATCAAAACACTTTTTACTGATCACACTTGTGCTTCTAGCAATGGAGCTCGGCCTCCTCCACCTACTAATGCTCCTCTTCTCGGCCCTATTCCAAAACCTGGAGCCTTTCCTCCTCTTGGAATTCATAGTGTAAGTAAAAAACCCCATATCTTTACAGATGATTTGATTATGGGTTGCATGTTGCTGAAAATCTATTGCATAGTGTCCCACTTGTTTGAAGCATTGAGATATTCATTGCAGCCTTTCCAGCTAGTTGTTTCTCCATCTCCAAGTGCAATTGCTGGATGGATGACAAGTCCAAATCCAGCAATGCCCCATGCTGCAGTTTCCCCGGGGCCTCCAGGAATTGTGCAGCCTGCTGGTGCCGGTTAGTTGTCTTTAAATGTTTGGCATGAATTCTATTTTTGGAAAAGCTATGCATGTTCTGACAGCCATTTCTTGCTTCCAAATTTTTCTCTAGCTGCATTCCTTAAACATCCTAGGGCCTCTTCAGGTGTTCATGGAATGGACGATCAAACAGATGACTCTGAGCATATAATGAAAAAAATTCGAGCTGGCCAATCTGATGAGGTGCGCTTTGTGCATAAGTTATGGTTTCAACTTTCAATATTACAATTTGAATATTGCTTGTTGGTTCATAATCCTGGTTGCTGCATATTGTACTCTAGGTTTCTTTCTCCAGCACAACGCATCTGCCAAATATCTACTCAGATGAAATTCCCAAAACAGTGATGCGGAATCTTAGCCAAGGGTCGTGTGTTATGAGCATGGACTTCCATCCTCAACAACATACTATTCTTTTAGGTTGATCTATGATGCTATACTTAAATATCAGCTGAGTTTTTATAGTGTGAAATGTACTCGAATTTTTAACTGAACAATTTAGTCAACTTCTAATTTAGATTGAGAACAATATATTGCTCAAAAGGAATGTCACTGCTTATATAGTATATACAACAACCAGTTATATATAGTATATATACATGGCATTATCGAGTAAAAAAGTACACACAAACGCTGTTGTTAGTTAATTGTATTCGTGTGCATAAATTTTCTCTCCTATTTTATAAAATTCATATATATATATATATGTGTGTGTGTGTGTGTGTGTATAATATCAATTGACTTTTGACTTTGTAGTTGGAACAAATGTTGGTGACATAAGCATTTGGGAGGTTGGTTCACTGGAAAGGTTAGCACATAAGAACTTCAATATGTGGAATCTCTCAGCATGTTCAATGCCTTTACAGGTGAGTCTCTGCGACCTTCTCCAATCTCTAAGATAAGAAGAAACTTAAATAGTGATTGGAAGGAAGTCTTTGCATCATTACATCATGAAAATGGATACCATTTGTAAGTTGTATGCACAAGGTGAAATGAGAATATCACTTTTGAGACTGTGGATTACTTATACTTTTTGAGTTGACAGCAAAAGGGTATCATCTGGAGAGTTCTAAATTACCTTAATGACATTGGCTGTAATGAGTTGAATGTTTAAGGTGTAATCCAATTCTGTGCATATGAGACCCCAAGCTGATGTCTAATTTAGTTATAGCAGTATTTCCACCTAATAGAATATCTTGATTGCTTATCATCCAGACAGCTTTGGTGAAAGATGCAACTGTATCTGTCAATCGATGTGTATGGGGACCAGATGGAGCTATACTTGGTATGTTTTATAGTGAAAAACTCTCTTCAATTCTCATAGCATGCTCATTATAGGAAATCCAAATGTTTTTGAATTTATGCTATTCTGTTTTCAATTTTAGGTGTCGCTTTCTCCAAGAATATAATTCAAATGTATACATACAGTTCATCAGGAGAGTTGAGACAGCATTTAGAAGTAAGCCTAAGAACCTCCCTCACACATGCCCTTGCTTCTACACTGTTTCCTTGGTTATTGTGGTGTATAGGTGTGTGTGTATCTATTAACCCGAAACCATCTTTTGACACTTGGTGCTTTGCAGATTGAAGCTCATATTGGCGGGGTTAATGATATTGCCTTTGCATATCCTAATAAGCAACTCTGCGTAGTGACGTGTGGTGATGACAGGTTAATCAAGGTGTGAACCTTCTGAACCTGTTAGTGTTTCTTGACATATAAGCCCTCAATTTTTTGTACTCTCTCAATCCCATCATCAGCTTCACTCAACAGTTTATGATGTTTTATCGAAGTCATTTTCAATTCAATTTATTTAAATATTAGTGTATAGTTTAAAAAGTAAAATTTATACATCTAAAAACTATGTCAAAAGTTTTACAAAACAAGATGTGTTATGACTATATTATTGTAACAAATGATAAATGAAAATAGGTGACAAGAATATATCGTTTGACTTGTGAATAGTAAAGATGAAGATAAATATGGGACAAAGGGGGTATATAAAGGTCCTGATTTGTTTTTTAAACTCTCATTCCTTCTTGATCAGGTTTGGGATGCTATAGGTGGTCGTAGACAGTACACATATGAAGGGCATGGAGCTCCAGTTTATTCTGTTTGCCCCCACTATAAAGAGAGCATTCAGGCAATTTCCCTAGCTAGTTACTTTGCTTCTATAAGAGGGATATTGCGGTCTTAAATTGACCAGAGTGCTTTTATAATTAACAGATTTCTTAATAATACTCTGATCTGTTTTGATAATTAAGTTAAAATAATGATTCTGTACTGTTTTTTGCAGTTCATATTTTCCACTGCAATTGATGGTAAAATAAAAGCTTGGCTTTATGATTGCATGGGGTCACGAGTGGATTATGATGCACCTGGACTTTGGTGCACAACAATGGCGTATAGTGCTGATGGTACTAGGTATGCTCGGCGCTATTGGATTTCACTCAATGAAGAATTTGTTGACTTGTTTATCATATTTATGGATCATGTATATATCCAGTATTCCTAATCATACTATTCTGAAGTCTGAACACTAGTAAAATTTGCACACATGTAGTCCTACACACAAACACACAAGGAGAAATAAGGCATGCGTTGCACACTTACATATCTAACGGAGAAATTATTTATATGCACAACAATGTTTTGACATCAATTCTCAATGTATAAATTTACTTCAAAAGTTAAGATAAATATGAACATTTTTCCCTAATAAAATGGAAACAGGAACCCACTAGAGTTCAAGAAACTTCATAGACTTCTCACTGAACCAGTAATTGTTTGAATCAATAAATTGTCTTGTTTGATTTAAATAAAAAAAGGGAATTCATTGGATTTAGTTAAAATTAAAATATAGTTCAAAAGTAAAGTAAAACATAAAAACTTTCAATTTAACTGGGAACTGTGTCTGCTCAAAGGAAATTGGAAACAGAAGATCGGTGAAAGAGCAGCCATATATTCAAGGTCGTATAAGTGAAACTATAATGTTTATTGTAGGATGGATAGAATTTGGAACTAATTTAACCTCATTCCATGATGACTTCAATGCATGATGCATCGTGCATAGATGAAGTGTCTTACCACTCAAAACACTTTTCTTTTTTGAGGCACCTCCAAATATCGGGACAGTTTTAGTTTTTTGGGCTCCTAGGATCATCTTGGTTTTGTAATATCTACACAAAATATTAGACTGCTGGGTCATAGATTCGTAGTTGAGGTGCAGATGCATTGTCATAATAAGAACTTACATTATGTTTTTTTGAGCCTGTAGTCTTTTAGAAAAAGGTCTCTACTTTTTGAGTACGTGTAAGGTTCATATACACTATATTGTATGCACCCACCCTCCCTAGATACCACTTGTGGGACCTTACTGATGTTTTGTTGTTGAAGTCAATAAGAAAAGAAGTAAATTCTACTACTTTTGTCTTTAAAAAAATCTTACAGTTTGACTTCACAGAAATTTAGAGAAGTGTTGAAAAATGGGAAAAAGTGAAAAGTATGTGGTTGAAATTGATTTGGAAGAGAGAATTAAAGATGTCCACATACTGTTTCTTAGAAAGGAAAATGGAGAAATGTAAAGTTGATTCTTAGACATCCCTAAAAGGAAAGTGTAAAGTCATTTCAAAGGCAAAGAGTATCATTTAAAATATAAATGTATATTTGAACTCACATGGTAAAACTTAATGCAAGTTACATAAGATTCACAAAATGTATATAGAAACAAGACTTTCTAAGGTGTTGTCTGGCCGTCTTTTCCTGATCCCCTCATTATCTTTATTTCTTATTTCTTTGGGATTTTGTTAGGGTTCCCAAGCGTAGAAATATGCATATGCTCTTAAATAGGAGTAGAATGTTTTAAATCCAGTTGCAGGTGACCGAGTTATTAGTTGGAAGGACAAAAAATGCCCAAAAAAGAAGGTTATCTATCAAAAGTGAGAATTTAAAAGACTAACAAAAAAATGAGTGTCATAATATTGTAGGTAATTGGGACCAAACATGAGAAAAAAATATTATGTTTCCTTACATTACTAGAGATCAAGATGTAATAAGTTCTGTCAACATATTACATATGGTGGTGTTGCTCGTACTATTTTAACTAATTATATAGAAAAAACTTGCAACATTAAATCCAAGTAATACTCCTTCCGTCTCAGTATTTTTGTCCGGTTTTGTTTTTGGCACAAATACCAAGAGAAGGAGAAAAGGATGGGCAAAAGACTAAAGCACCTCTGTTCAAAATACGTAGTTTTGATAACCCCCCATGCCATCCCCACCACCGTCTTCTGACATTGATATCCAACCTTTAGTTTCACTGCCCTCTTCCTCCATTGACATTCACCATTCGCCTTCTAATCTCACAGTCATCACTTTTGAATCATTGGCCACCATATTTTGAGGCACGCACAGATAGACATGGAATAACCCTCCAATATACACCTTTGGCACTCTATTTCTTCAACTATTGGTCATCAGGAGGAGTTTTCCCACCTTTCCGACAACTCTGCTCCAAACTTTGACCACAAATGCCTCTAGTTTTTTATATTAAAATGCAGAAATTGGACTTGACAAATCAAACGCAGAAATCGACAATGACGAATTGGACATGCAGAAATCGGACCCATTGTTTCCAGAAATTGTCTGTTTGATAACTTATTCTGTGTAAATATTGTCACTATGGTGTAATTTGCAGAAACCTCGACCCATCATTTGCAGAAAGCAGACTTGCGGTGGCATATTTTGGATAATGCTGCAGGCCTCGATTTAGGGTTAGCATTTTCCGTGAAAGAGATAAGAATGGAAGTAAAGGGTAAAAGACAATTGAGCACTTTGAGCCTTTACTAAAAAAGTGAAGTGCAAAAAAAAGTGGGATGACCCAAAAAGTTAAAGTTGACACAAACACTGAGACGGAGGGAGTATTATGCTAAAGAGTTAACATTTTTTAGGGAAAGGATGAAGCTAATGTTGGCCAGGTGTGCAGCAATTGTCCCGAGGTCCTACAGCTAACTCTATTTGAATGAAGTATGTAGTTGGTTATTGTTTTTCCGCTACAATATAATCATTGGCAGTTGACATATAAATATAGAATCTTAAGATCACTTCACAAAATTGCATTACAAAACGAACACGATTGAGGTTGAAGTCTACTATGAGAAAGAGTTAATAGGGTACGGGATTCCATCCCAACTCATGGATACGTTGAAAGCTCTATGTACTCAATATTTCAATGCAACTAATTGACAATTGTAGTTTGTAATCACTTTGAAGATCAAATGCTAACCTTTTGCTATTGCGGAGGAGTGGATGGGATTCCATCTGCACTATGCAATTAATATGTACCTTGAAGAGAACAAATGGTTAGTAAATTGGAAGTCAATATGGTGTCAGTTTGACAGACACTTTCTCTAGAAATTGGAGGCAACCTTGAATCTACAACTGCCAGCTTCACTTGGAGTCTGTTATATGAATATTCATCGCCTAAGTCCAGTTTAAACTTTGCAGGAAAGAGTATAACTGTCCTGTAACAACTGCCAGCTTCAGTTGGAGTCTGTTATATGAATATTCATTGCCTAAGTCCAGTTAAAACTTTGCAGTCAAGAGTATAACTGTTCTGTAACAACTTTTCCCAGTTTAGATTATTGATTTTCAAAATATTTATACCATACGTTAGATATGGAACTATGGAAGCATTTGTCTCAGTTTCTTAGGTCACTGCTTGCAAAGTTTTGTATATTTAGGTTCAAATCTAATAATGCTTTTCCTGGGTGTATTTACATTCAGAAGAGGCCTTAAGCGTGAGCTGACGGCTTGAGTTACATGTTAATCGAATTGTCGTCTCCCAATTGTCTAGCTATACTGCTATACATGTCATGAAAACTGCATGTTGTCGATCAGCAGGATACTGCCATAATGGGAGATGCATTTTAAGAATTTTTCTAATTAGTAGCCTTATCTGTATCAAAACCATTTCCCATTCAGACTCTTCTCATGTGGAACAAGTAAAGAAGGTGAAACGTACCTTGTTGAGTGGAATGAGAGTGAGGGAACTATCAAGAGGATGTACACGGGTTTCAAGAAGCGTTCTTTAGGAGTTGTGCAATTTGACACAACAAGAAACCGTTTCCTAGCCGCTGGAGATGAGTTTCAAATAAAGTTTTGGGAAATGGACAGTATAAACATGGTTGCATTTACCGATGCTGATGGTGGATTACCTGTGAGTGTTCCTTTGTGTATTTGGCTTGTTCTAGTGTGGTACTTGCACTTATATTGCACAATGCAGATACCATATTTGACATTCCTTTTATGCAGGCTAGCCCTAGACTAAGGTTCAACAAGGAAGGGTCTTTACTCGCTGTTACAACCATTGACAATGGAATCAAAATCTTAGCAAATAATGATGGGCAAAGTGTGCTTGAGATGTTTGAGAATAGGCAACTTGAGGGTACTCGTGGTCTTTCTGAAGTTGCCAGTATAAAGGTAATATTTCTTTGGCTTTAGTAAATTAATTAATTTCTTCCATACATGAGTCACTCTTTTAGGTACAATTCACTTTGGAGCTCAAAAGTATAATTTGAGTAACCTTATAAACTTTGCTCTGCAGGCAATAGCTCCAATGCTGGAACGCGCTGAGAGAATTCAACAATCCATGTCCATAGGCAATCCGGTCAGTTGGGTTTCTATGCCATTTTATTTAGTTCACCTAGTTTTTTTTATTATTTTCAGAATGCAGGTTATCAATGTTTCTTTGATTACACAGTTCTCTTTCCTATTGTTGGATCTTTACTGACTTGGAAATAGCTATAGGCCACCATTGAAAGCAGCATGCTCTCTGATGCAAAACCTAAGACTGTAGACAATGCTGACAAAGCTAAATGCTGGAAGTTTCCGGACATAACTGACTCTTCTAAACTTAAGTCTTTAAAGTTGCCTGATCCGCTAACTGCAAGCAAGGTATGCAGAAATCTGATTCATCACTGAATGTTTTATCTTGTTTCTTTCAAATTGAAACTAGTATTGTGGTTATCTATTTTATTACTCAATCACATACTGTTCTTGGACTGTTATTTTCATGATTTTTACCTGAATATACTTGAAATAAGAAGCTAATGTTGAAACCCTAGGTTGTGCGGCTGCTCTATACAAGTACTGGACTTATGTTGCTGGCATTATGTTCCAATGGGGTTCATAAGCTTTGGAGGTGGCCCCAAAGTGAGCGTAACCCATCTGGAAAGGTTATATTTCTCTTTTCTTTTCCTGTTCACATTAATTTCTCATTCATTCTTGATTATTCAGGTTAATATATTGCTTCTTTACTTTCAGTCATCTGCTTCGATTGTACCACTCTTATGGCAGCCTAACAGTGGAGCTCTCATGTCAAATGATCTAAGTGATGTAAAATTAGTTGAAGAGCGTGCTTCATGCATTGCTTTATCTAAGAATGATTCCTATGTCATGTCTGCTTCTGGTGGGAAAGTTTCCCTGTTTAACATGATGTCCTCTAAGGTAAATGCTCCTCGCCTTTCCTTTCTTTCCTTTTATTGTTTTGGGAAGCAGTTTGTTTTTCTAGTCTAAATTTTTTAGTTTCTTTCTTAGATTAATAACATAACTCAAGTCATAATGTCTTGCCAGGTCATGAAGACTTTCATGCCACCACCTCCTGCTGCCACCTATTTGGCATTTCACCCTCAGGACAATAATGTTATTGCTGTGGGGATGGAGGACTCCACCATACAAATATATAATGCCAGGGTTGATAAGGTAACCTTTTTGGAGGATACATCTTCATTTATAAACATCAATGCAGTGCATTTCTTTAGGGTACTGAAAAAGTGTTCTAGAATGTTTCAGAACCCATGTCTTGAGTTTCAGACTAACTTCGTGTCTTGCTATATTTCTTTCTTTGTGAGATCAAAGCAGGTTATTATGAATTAATGATAAATAAAGAAATACTCTGTAGTTGATTTATGAATGTGCATATTGAAGTCGTTGATCTTGAGCTTGGGCTTTGTCTATGTTAGTGTAAGATTTTACCAACACGTCATGTTCATGTTCTCGCTTTCATCTACCATAGCTTAACACAAAGCTCAAGGGTCATCAGAAACGGATCACAGGGCTTGCATTTTCTCAGAGTTTGAATGTTCTGATTTCTTCAGGAGCAGATGCGCAGGTGATCACTAATCTAAAATGTAGATAATATTACTAAACTTTAAAAGAATATACTTGCAGTTGAGTTCTCTTCAGGTCCCTAACTAACTTTAGTACTTGTAGTTTTTTTAGTGTTGGAAATGATTCATGCTTCTCTCTACCCGTATGCAGCTATGTATCTGGAACATGGATGGATGGGAAAAGAAAAAGTCAAGGGTCATACAGGCAGCCCCTGGACACCCCACTCCCCCGGTTGGAGAAACAAGGGTTCAATTCCGTAATGATCAATCACACATCCTCGTAGTTCATGAAAGCCAAATTTCTATATATGATACTCAACTCGAGTCTATGCGTTCAGTAAGTTTCTGTCTCGTGCTTTTTCTATGTACCCAAGCTCTGTCTAAGTGCCACTCTATGAGTATACGTCGAATTCATGTGTCTTACATGGAAATGAACTTATGATGCAGTGGTACCCGAGGGATTCACTTGCTGCGTCTATTTCAAGTGCAACATATTCATGTGATGGTATGTTGGTGTTAGCTGGATTCTCTGATGGTGCAATTGATATATTTGATGCAGACAGTTTAGGACTTCGGTGTCAAATTGCATCTTCTGCTTACATTTCTACATCTATTGGCAGGTTTTTTGAATTTGCTTCATTTTCCCTCTATTTTTTTTTTTGCATACGAATTTGCTCTCATACTCAGTGGATTTTTATGTTAGTTTAAAAATACCACTTGATCCATGAAGTTTAACACTATGTTTGGTTCACGAAATTCGGAAGGAAAAGAAAAGCAGATAATTTTTCTCATTTTCCTCACAAAGTGGAAGGAATTTTAATTTCCCTCTAGTGGGATCCAACTGGGTTGTTGTTGCTCTTAGTATATTTTACCTTCTCATTTTCTTTTCCTTTAACTTTTCTTTTCTTTTCTTTCCCTCTCTAAACAAACAAGAAAAATTATTTTCCATCTCATTTTATTTTCTTTACCCGTTCAAATTCCTTGAACCAAAGATAGTGTAAGTGTTAGCTTTGACATTGATGTTACTTTCACATCATCATCATCATCAGCAGCAGTGGCACCTCCCCTGTAGTGATTGCCGCACACCCGGAAGACCCGTACCAATTTGCTCTGGGGATGAGTGATGGTACAGTATATGTGATCGAACCATCAGATGCAGAGCCGAAGTGGGGTAGTTCCTCTCAAGATAATGGATCTTTGCTTTCCATTCACTCAAGTTCTGCATTGAATAGTCAGCCATGTGAAACTCCTAGGTGATATATACAATTATACTCTTACACATCATACTAGGCATGCTTCAACTAAAACCCGCTTTCTTGTAAATATACCTATGCCTCAATTTTTTTTCCCAGCTAGGGTAATTCTTTAGGAAGAGTGTGTACATTCGCCCCAAATTGCTAAAATTCACCTCGCTTCATTCGGGTTTTGATTGGTGCTATTGTCACCAGCCTGCTATGTTCTTTCTTGTGCTCTCAATTTTTATTCTGAGCTGTTCCATATTACTAGTCTCGTTTTTTATTGAAAAAAGCACATTCATAAATCTACTAACCATTCTTGCCTCACGTTTTCCCTCACTTCACTTCATCTATCTTAAACAATGCACAAACACAAAAACGAGACTAGTGTTGGGACATGGATGGAGACTGGAGTATTGTGCAATAAGATGCAATCCAAGAAAAGTAATGGGGCTACACAATACATTGTGTACATCTTAACCTAGGGGACATTTACAATCACATTTGGCCAAGAAATGGATGTACATTTCGTTTGTTAACTCAATGTATTTTAGCCTTTACATTTGATAATGCATCACTCTAGATTGGAGTTGACAGGCCCACTGACATAAATGAAAGCCTTCAGGGTCCGTTTCATACACATAATTGATAGAATTGGAATTGAATTAAGAGTTAAAATTCTGTGAAATTTCTTTAGATGGAATTGAATTCTCCAATTTCAATTCACATATTTTTGTTCTAACAAATAGAAGAATTGAAATAATTTTTCTCAATCCTAATTTCTTAGTTTAAATTCCTTGTACCGAATGGAGCCTTAATGATGAAGCCAACATTAATTATAATGTTACGGATTATTCTCTAATACTTGAAATAATATTCTTACGTGCATCGCACGGGTGATGTACTAGTTATAAATTAAAGACAAAATTAGAAAGTAGTATAAAAACGAAACATTTTCATTTACCATTTTTTAACTTTAAAAAGGAAAATCACTCTAAATAAGAGTAAAATATAAAGTGCCAAATTATAAGATTAATGTTTCTATTCCCTAAATAAGAGTTTGCATTGAGGTAATGTGCTACTGTACATGAGCATTTTACTATACTTTTTAGTAATTTACATGGTCATGATTGGTTTTATAAATGTATTTCAACTCTTATTTCGAGAATAAAAATATGGAACACCTATTTAGGTATATTTCAATATTTTAGTTTTAGTCTTTCTCTCTGAAAAGATTTATGGGATGGAGGAAGTATGACATTCTTCATTTGTCCCTAAATACTCTATTTTTTGTGCTTACAATGATTTTAGTTTTGATTCTACTTATTTGAATGTTGATGTAAATTTTTTTATTTATAAAAAGATTACATAGTGAAAAAGTACATAAAAATTCTACGAGGTGAACAGAAAGCTAATTGGTAATCCAACAATTGATTGAAATAAAAAAAAAGTAAAAAGAAGATATAGTTTGTGTAGATAGTAAAAAATCTTTTATAATTCGACCTCAATGTCAATATTCCTCATGTAGTCCAATTATTAATATGATTTTTTAAATTACACCTAAAAAATTATACTAAAAAAAATTAAGGATGAAAGCAACCTAAAAAATGCATCTACTCGCGAGCTCTTCCAAGAAAAAAAGTCATCATGGATGGAGTATTGAGCATCGTTCCCATGACATTGGAAATTTATAAAATTGATTATTTTTACTTTCCGTGACCCCTCAAAGCCTCCCTTCGAGTATTATATACTTCCTATGTCCCATAAAATTTTCATAGTTGAAACATGGTGCGCTTTAAAAATGTACAATTTTAGTATACTTTTCTAATTATGACTTAATTATCTTATACATCATATTTTGCCCTATTATAAAATAAGAACAAAATTAGAAAATCATACCAAAATTATACTTCTTAAGTCCCAATTTAAGTTGCATGTTTACTATTTATAGTATGAGATTTTAACTACATTCTTTATCCATTTTTGCCACATGTTTGAGAAAATAATATAGTCTTGTTACATCTTGTCTTCTAGAGCTTGTGATTTAGTTTTTAAATATATATATTTTATTTTTAAATTCCATGCTAATTTTCAAATAAATTAAACAAAAAATAATTTCAATTAAAACTCGTAAACAACAATAGACGGGTAAATTTCACCCATGGTATACGAACTTTCATCATTATTTCACTTCGGTATATAAACTTTAATTCCTATCACAAAAGTTACTTTTGTGATAGGAATTAAAGTTTATATACCGAAGTGAAATAATGATGAAAGTTCGTATACCATAGGTGAAATTTACCCACAATAGACGGTTGAACTTGGGATGGAGGGAGTATATTTTAAAAGTGTCGTTTTTTACTCCGAAAAGATATACTACGTATGTCCCTAAATACTTTACTTTTTGGTGTTTACAATGATGTTAGTCTTGGTCCAACTTATTTGAATGTTGATGTAAAATAAAAAAATTACATAGTGAAAAAGTACATAAAAGTTTTAAGAGTTGAGAGGATTGCTAATTGGTAATCTAACAAATGGTTAAAATAAAAAAGGTAAAAAAGAAGATATAGTTTGTGTAAATATTAAAAAATCTATTATGATTTGACATGGACTTATGTCAATATTTCTCATGTCGTCCAATAATTAAAATATTTTTAAAATTATATGTAGAAAATAATAATGAGAAAATATTTCTCTATTGAGTTGTCTTGTGATTACAAAGATCTAACTTTTTTTTTTAGAAATCATCCTAAATAGGACTAAAACATAGAGAAAAGTACCAAAATAGGACTTTCATGTTTTTTTTCCCGGAATAGGACTTTGCACTGTGGTAATGTGACTTTGCATTGTGGTAATGTGGCAGTGTACATGTGCAAATTACTACACTTTTTTGGTAATGTATATGACCATGTTTGGTAATGTAAGTCCTATTTCGAGAATAAAAACATGGAAGTCCTATTTTGGTATATTTTCAATTTTTTAGTCCTACTTTGGTCTTTCTCCCCCTTTTTATAGGAAGAGGAAGAAAGCAAGTCCTACTATAACTATATTCTTACTAAAACAAGAAAAGGAAAATAAGGAAAGATACTAAACCGAATCTCAAAGGGATTCGGTTTCCTTCTTCTATCTCACGGCAACGGCCCCTCAAGCTGGAACATGGGGGTTCCACATGCTTAGCTTGAACAAAAGATGATCAAAAGGAGTTGAACCCAGAGCTTTTGTGAATATATCACCAGGTTGATCATGAGTAAGATGTAGGTCGTATGCAAAACATCACGTTGTAGCTTAATATCACAAACAAAGTGGCTAAATTCAATGTGCTTGGTGTCTTTATGAAAAACTGGAGTAGCGGCTATGTGCAAGGCAGCCTCATTATCATAAAATAAAGTCATATGCTTCGAGTGAGAAATCTCTAAGGACTCTAAGAGAGAGACTTTAGCAATTTAAGTTCACACACGACCCTAGCCATAGCACAATGCTTAGCTTGTGCAGAAGAACGGGACACACGGTGATGATTGCCTGTTTCTTTGTACGCCAAGAATTAGGAGAATCGCTAAGGCGTATTAAATACTTGGAGACAGAATGCCAAGTAAGAGGACAACATGCCCAATCAGAGTCACAAAAAAGCAATCAACTATAGATTACAAGTTGCAAAGAAAAATAAACCTTGCCTAGGCTGAGACTCTATGTAGTGAATTGTTTGCACTGCGGCATCCAATTGCTCTTGGCGGAGAGTACTCATAAACTATGACAGGATGTGAATTGCATAAGTGAGATCAGGTTGGGTAGATTTTAATAGTCGGTTTGTACTCTAAGTGGGGGCGTGAGTTAGAGTACTTACAAAACCTTTTGTAGAAAGTTAAAAACGAAAAACCAAAAAAACGGAAAGAGATAAGAAACAATAACGAAAATGACACAAGTGTTTTAGACTGGTTCAAACACCCTACTCGAGTACCTTAAGGTTCCTCCTTAAGGATTTTAACCTTCACTAACTTTTTAGCTTCACCAAAAAGACTCAAATGAGATTTGGCAAACACCCTTGCCAATAGGTAATGAGATTTTACAACGGCTATCTCTACTCCTTACAAATGAAGATTTAAAAGGCTATATTCAATCTTAGAACAAGAGAGGATTTAAAGGCTATCAACACCTTTGGAAAACAAGTAGAAGTTTTGTTGCTTCTCTAACAAAAGAATAAAAATAAGAATTGGATAGATGAAAAACAATGATGAATCGAGAAAAATAAGCCTATGAACAAGATAGTAAATGATGAAATCACAAAGCCCTTTGTAGTGTGTGAGTGCTTTTGAAATGATCATAATCAAATATTAAAAGAGAATATTGAAAAACATTGAAAACAATAGGTTGGATCACTCAAAAATGGCTAGAAGAATGCTTGTAATTGAAGGAGATTTTTTTTATGTGAAAATGAAGCTTAGAGGAGGTTTATATAGCTTGAGAATTGATCCGAATGTGTAAGAATCTATTTAGAGATGTTGAATAGTGGTTTTAAGGTTGATGGATCTCAAAATGGAAATTACGTAGTACATAAAACAAAGCAATGGTTGCGGTACCTGTTTGAGTACATGGGTATTGTTATGGTTGGAGGGTAGAACCTAAATGGTAGGGGGTACCGCCACAGGCAAAGATTCCCTGACGTCCCCGTCTCTTCCGATACCTATTCTGGTACTGTGGTATTGTTTCGGTAAGAAGGCACTGTATTAGAGGTGGGGAGGGTACTACCACAGGCAAGGATTTACTGGTCTTCCCTTAACCTTCTAGTACAATTGTAACGTGACGATAGCCATGTATCATACCAGTGGTAGGGTGTACCGTCTAGCCCGAAGGTTTTTAACAAAAACTTGATTTTACTTTGCTTTTTCAAAATTCCCCCTATTGAATTTTTTTTAAGAGGTTTAATAATGCATTTGAGTGTAAGGGAAATCGTTATTACGTCATTACTATCAAACCCTTAACATTTTATCTATCTACTGTTAGACAAAACGTGCAAATTTAAAGGGGGGTGAATAGAGTTGTTTTCTAGAATGAGCATTTTTCGCGTGTGTTTATAAACGTAATAAAAAAGTGCAGGAAATATGTAAAAAGTGAGGGAAATAAGAACACCGCGATATATACTGGTTAACCACCTCGTGGCTAGTTCAGTCCTCCGAGGGACTGTCTCAAAAGTCCTACTATACTTCTAGCTTCAATGGGTGCTTGAAAAACCGGTTACAACTCAAGAGTTTGAGTCACACAAGCCTCAAATTCTTACAACAAGACTTGAATCACACAAGTATTAGCAACAACCAAACTCAAACAAATATTGAGTTCTTACAACACAAGAATGAAAGCTCACACAATTGAGCAAGTAGTGTTTAAAATGAAAAGCTCTATGGATGAAAATATCTTTTTGCACTCAACAAAAATATTTCTAACTCTCAAAATAATATTTGATGAAGAGAATTGAAGCAAGAGTTGAATATTGGATAAGGAAGGAATGGAGTGCAAGAGTTGTGTGGAAAATGAAGGAGGATGAAATGTTTTTGACTATTTTTACCACATGTGATCGATACAAGGCATATGATCGTTCACCAAGAGTTAAAAATATGGTAAAAGAATCAGTCAAAGCCATGGCGGATCGATCCTACCCCCTGGATAGATCCTCCGATCAAATTCAGGAAACAATAGTGATCGATCCTAGCCAAAAGGATTGATCCTCTGACAAAAGCCCTTCACACTTGGATCAATCCAAGCAGTGGATCGATCTCTTGATGAACAAACTCCAAACATGGAGGACCTAAAGCATGTGTGCGAGTGGGATGTACAAAAATGGATTTATTAATTTGTTCTAGACAAGTTAGCAGGAAGAGGAGGCTCTCAAAAATAAACAAATAACTCAACTTTAATGGATTAATTCAAATTCAAACTTTGAATTAAAAGATTTGACTTATATTTTTTGGTGTAGAAATTGAGTCCCAAAATTATTTTGTGTGTCAAACGATGTACAAGCTAAGGAAAAATATTTAAAGTATATTTTTCACACTACAAAAATTTTGTGTATTTCAAAAGATTATTTTGAGAAATTTTGACACACCATTTTGTAACTGACCCATTAAAATATTTTTAGACAGAGAAAATTTGATATTTCAACTAACTCAGAAAATAATAATTTGTCCCTAAAATATTTGTTTATGCAAAAGTGTTTGTATGGGGTGAGCAAAAATTTGTTAGACTCAATAAAAATTAAAGGTCTTCAGAATCTTCACTTCAAAAACTTTGCGTAGGGGTGAGCATTGAATAACAACGTCGTAAATTTTTTGATACGTCTCTTTGCTTTCTCAATTCGAAAAATAAATTTTCGATCGTCATATTGATTTCATCGTTCCGTTTGTCATTTATCAAAACCTAAAAAATATTATTACAGAATATCTAAAAGGGATTTGAACTCATGTCCAACAATTTTCCCCTTTTTGATAATGACAAACATAGTTGAGAAATAGCAAAGAGTAAGTTCAAGAAATACTTCTCTTAAGTTAATTCCCCCTGCTAGGTTAGAATGGTGCAGTGAAAAAAAAATTCGGAATTGAAAGTAGAAAAGCAAAAAAAATTCTCAACTATTCTTCCTTCCCCCTTTTGGCATTATCAACAGATCCTTCCCCCCTAATCGATGTCGAGATATTGAAGGATAGCCTAAAAAGAAATTTTTCTTAATAAAAAAATTTGCAAGAGTTTCCTTTTAAAAAGGGAACTACTAGCAATTTGGTACAAAGGGAAAATATGTTCTAAAAGATGAACAATATATTGCCAAACCATCACAAGTATCAACAAACAATGATAATGAAGGCTTAAACATTAACCACATCAATATTAACAAGTCATAACAAGTCATCACAACATCATCAACCATCAAATGTCAAAACAACAACAACAATCATCAAATAATGTAGCAACATCATCAAACAAATAAGTCAAGAGCATAAAAGGAAGAATAAATTTCAAAGAGAGTTCGCCGGGCGAGATCCTCCACTGTAGCTGTGGCGTGGTCTTAAGTATAGCCGGGGCTCGAGCTCTGTCATCCGCAGCTTTAAGTGTGAGAGACGATGTCCTTGCATGGTCACCTCCACGCGCGTGCACGTCACCGCATCCAAAATCCTTTGAAGGAGGGATCGATGAGAATGATGCAACGAGGATGAATGCGAGGCACGGGAAGGAGAAGGTTGCCGACTCCACACTTCTTGAGGCACAATTGGCTCGAGAGCTTAGATTCCCACCGGTTTTCCTTTTGAGTTGAGTTCTTCACTTTCTTCTTCTCCTTCTTCTTCTTCATTATCCACGGCTCTTGGAATGTTGGAGCGATTGAAGGTGGCTACGTCGATGTTCCATGTGTAGTCCGCTTGGATATGAACATCCTTGTTGAGGTCCACCAAAAACTTCCTCAAAATGGCCATAATCGGGATCACGTACCCAAGAGAGCCTTTGGCTTTCATAGAGAGAAGATGATTGCAAAAGAATTTGGCCCAATTGATTTTAATATTCTTCACGAAAACATAGAGAAGACGAATGTCTGAAGAAAGTACTATTGAATGGCTCGACTTGCGAGAAGCTAGTACTTTCGAAATGAAATAGTGAAGAATGCAAAAATGAGGCTTAAGGCCTCCAACAGTTAAACGTTCAAGTTGACGAATGCTTTCATTACCAATGATGGTAACGGTGTCGTAGGGAGAAAAGTTTTGGAATTCCCTAGACGAGGTTTTTCTAAAATCACACCCGCTAGAGAGTAGATGAAGAAATTCACCAAGGTCTTTTAGATTCATTTCAATATCCGCACCATTAACGGAGGATTTAAGAATTTTCCTGTTAAAAGAGAGATTGGCGTAGAATAGCCGAACAAGGTTAGGACAATAAAGTTGAAATTTTATACACAAAAAATCGGCCAAACAAAGTTGATCAATAAGGGTCGTAGCTTGAGAAAATGGTGGATTACAAAATCTAACATGACGATCAACGGATTTAGGAATTAAGATTGGGCGAATCAAAAAATAATTGAAGAAAAGTCGTTGGGAGTCACCCTCGCGAAAAATGAACGAGGAGATACCGTTGTTCCTCTTGGGTATTGCTTGTTCCCCCGACTGTGTCCTTAGTGCAAAGGCATTTGATGTTTTTTTTCCCAATATAGTTGCTAGGGTTTAAGCATAGAGAGCGAGATAGCTAGAAACACAAATATAATCACCAAATTACACTCTAGATAGAAATTAATCAAGTTTCAATCAACAATTTTGCAAGAAATTGAAGAAAAAAATGATGAAGAGGGATGGAAATCATACCTGTATTCCGAGTTGAGTTTGCCGACGAAGAGAGATGAGCATACGATGAAAAAGAAAACACAGAAACGGAGAAGGAGTATATATATACCTAAGGTCGGGGGGATCGATCCAAGGGCAAGGATCGATCCTTTGAAGGAACTCACCTGTCGCGAACAAGTCCAGGTGATCGATCCATTGTGTTGAAAGTCCATGGATCGATCCAAAGGTTGAGGATCGATCCTCCGAAGAGTTGTTTGAATCCGAAAAGGAATTAGTTAGCCCAGGTGATCAATCCAGAGGCTGGGATCGATCCACCGAACATTTACCTGAATTTCAATTTAAATTCTTTGGCTTGGGTGATCGATCCACATGTGGGGATTGATCCCCTCTGTTCCCATTTCGAAAATCTTCTTTAAAAATGCCTTGAAACATTAAAAATACCCTGCAAAAATGATTTATTACGTCTATAACACCCTAATCCGTCTAGGTCTGCAGCCCCTTTTGGACTAAAGTATTAACTTGGTAATCGTAAAAATTTGAACATTTCAAACATTTTAAGTATTTACAAGAATAATGTTCAATTCATAACAGTAACAGTATGAAGTTTTCAATATTGAGGAAGCTTAACAAATCATAATCATAAACATAATTTATTTATGTTCTTCAATTCAAAACCATCACATCTATTCCAACAATCTCGCCCCCGTGTTCCTCCAAGATCACATCACATTATTCTTTTTATTAACCTGCATGTAGCAAATAAAACATACTACACGCTCAGTTTTGAAGCTGAGTAAGCATATCTAATGTGTCGAACATCCATATAAATTAAATCTCAATTTATAATCAAATTATTTGATACCATGCACATAATCTTCAGTTCAGATATTCAATAATCAATATTTAATATTCATCATTCAATATTCAACATTCATATTCAACATTCATCAATATTCTTAAGCTATTCTTAGTCTAAGGCCAATCTCTTATAATATTCACCAACTCTTAAACGAATTCTAGTTTAATGTTCTAAAACTATATTCCAGTTTAAGGTACTCTAATCAATTCTTAAGCTAGATCTAGTTTAAGATACAAATTTTCAAAAGAGGTTTTCAAAATCTTAAACTTATCTTCACTTTAGGTCAACCAGAAATCGAACATCGGAATGCACATTGTCGGGTTAGGTGGTATCCCCAAACGAGTGATCCTCAAGTTTGGTTTGCAGATCCCGTATGTACGTTATACACGCAAGACCTATTTCTAATCTATCTCAGAGGTCTTCTAGATAGTATTAGAAACCAACATCAATATGGATATATCTTAGAGTTCTTCTAGATATCCCTAATAGTCATTATCAATTCCAAATGGGTATATCTTAAAGTTCTATATATATGGATATATATATATATATATATATATATATATAGACACACACACTAAGTGCCAACCCGGGTCATCCGGTTCGCTGGTTCTACAAGATTTGAACGAGTTTTCTTAAGAATAGTTCTGAGCATTGAATCAGATCTGATACTTCTCTGGGTCGAAGTCCAATCCATAGTCTTAGAAATTGTCTAAACATGGATTTTGACCAACTTGTGCATGACGAAAAGCCAGCTGTTCGGGTTATTGGGACACCAACAAAGCCAGATTTTGAAATCACTCTCAAAAAACAACAAAACAAGTAAAGGACAGAACACTTCATTTTCGTATATCCGGAAAACAGCTAGCCATGCGGCATTGGGAGGCCTTTTTCCCTCGTCCTTGCCCTACCCAAACCCTCCAGGTAGAAGAAACCCCATGAAATCTTTTCCGCCGTATCGGAAAGAGCAAGAGAAATGGGCGCAGCAGTTGGCGAAAAAGGTGGAGAAGTTCGAGTGGGAAGCCTAGTGTGGGCCTGCATAGGCAATGGGGTTTGGTGGCCGGGAAGGGTGTTGGGTCCCGGCGACATGACGTCATTTCCCGACCACCGGTTTCAAATCCAGCTCCTCGGCCAAGATACTGTCACCATGTGAGCCGCCTTTTTCCCTTCATTTCCTCGGTTTAGTAGTCACCCCACCACCCAATTTTTCTCTTAAGTTTTCTTTTAAAAGAACAATCTTTATTTGTTTATTTTTATTTGTCTTATTTTGTAGCCATCCCCAACGAAATCGGAATTTAAGGTTTTAGGTTTGGTTGGTGATGATGATAATGTTTCTTTTGAGTGTGTTTGAGAGTGTAATATATGCATTGAATGAAACCTTGATGTGTCTGTGAACCAACTAATATTTCAGGGACTGCTACAGTCTGGAGAGTTCGAGGCGCGTAAAAGCCTTTCGTTGCGGTGAATTTGATGATTGCATTAGAAAGGCAAAATTGTCCGAAGAATTTGCTTCAACCGAATGTCTGAAGTACGTGCATCTTAAAAATGCTATTCTTCTTGCTCTTGATCTTGAGAGGCAGTTGGTGCAAAACAAACAACTTAAAAGGCCAGGTAGTATATTTTGTGCTTCAACAAGAATATTGAGTTGCATTTCAAAGATATTTCTACATTTTTAATCAAAATCAAGATATGTGATTTTTTTTATCTATATTGCTTTTTTTATTTGCAGGGAGTGAGATGCAGGTAGAAACTTGTTCTAGGGAAAAGATAAGAAAGCACGGCTACTTCACTGTTGAATCGGAAGATTGTTTGAACCAATCTGTTGAGTCTCGTTCCTTAAGGGAATCGCAAAAACGTTTGCAAGATACCACCGCAAATACCTCTGAACCAATGGAATCAGATTTATCTGAGAGCGTTAATGATGTGAGAATGGGAAAGCCTTCAGGTTAATGTTTCTTCCTAACTTGAATGGCCCAGTTGTATAGAAAAATGATGAAAGAATGTAATCAAAATGTATGCTTCAAGATTGCAGTGGAAAATGATTTTACCATTCTGCTTATTGCCTGTGTTGTACTAATTACCATGTGCTTGTATTATGTTCAATCTTCATTGTACCCAATAATGCAAAAGTATTTTGGGTGAATTTTATTCCAAATGAGATGCCTATTTTGATGTTACTGTGTTATCTGGATAATACCACCAGGTACCCTTGTGAGCCGACATGAAAACATTAATGAAACGAGTGAAGGTGTAACCAGTTACTCCTCAGAGTCCTCTACTGTTCAGAAGACAGCTGCTCCTGCTATACTTCAAAAACCCAAACATCAAAGAAAACGGAGTGTCCAAGAGCTTTGTCAGGGAGCTGCGGGGCTATATGATGATACGAATTGTGTCTTTGACTACAAGGGAGTTAAAGCAATGTCTGCCTGTGCTTCAGTGTTTCCCAGCAATGACAAGAAAACTCTGTTCGATGCGCACATTAAATTTCTACCAAGCTGCCGGGGAGTGGATGTTCCCCTTGTCTGCATGATGAGCAGAGTAAATGGGAAGGCGATCATAGGGCACCCAGTTAACATAGAGGTTCTTAAAGGCACTAGAGCTACAACGGGCAAGAAATCGTATCACCTGGTTTGGAAGACTTGTAAAAGGACTCCTGTCATGTATTCACCTCCATTGCCTTCCACTCGTGAGATCAGGAAAATGACTCAAGCTTGTGACTCAAGTTCTGGAGGCTTGACTTGCTCGGCTCCAAATGGTGATTTCTCAGGAACAGAGGGAGTTCCTCTGAATTCCAGCAAAAAGCAACCACGTTCAAGAAAAGTCTACCATGGTATCATATATAACCCGCACACCACAATACAGAAAGCCCTGAAAGATGGGACTTCCATGGGAGTTGCTTGTGTCCCGGTGAGACATGTTATGAGAAAGCTACTAGCAGCTCTTTGCAAGGAATTGCAAAACTACTAATGCTTTCAAGAGGGATCAAACTGGTCTAGCTTTTTTTTGTGTTTAGTAATTATAAATAGTCTATCCACTATAGATAGGATTGAGTTGGATCTTAAAAAACTGGCAAGCAGCCACGTTTCTAATGAGTAGTTTTTGTGCTATTACCGCTGGTTAACGCACTACTGTGATTCTGTCAACTGCTAGGCATGTAATGTAGATCAACATATCTAACTATACTTACTGTGCAGTAGCTTTTTGTTTCCATGCAGATATTATTATGTGGTATTACTTGTTTAAGTTTATCAGAGTAAATTAAAGGGTTCTGAGTAAACTAGCCAGCCAGTTGGATGTCAAATTTGTCAATGACTACTATCTTAATTAGAATTTGTTGTCATGTAGAACAGATAACCACAAAGATGGTATGATAAAGACAATTTATTGTGCATTTACAAAGCGGCGATCATATATAGCATTCTCATCTATGCACGTTTTAAGTCAAATATGATGCACTTTTGATCTGTATATGTTACCTATCAAACAATGCACTTTTTGTCATTGACTTTCATTTATTAAAAAACATTCCGTATTTACATTTATGCCACCACATTTTTGCTTAAAAAAACTGATTATATCCTACCATTTGTTGCATATAATTGGCTAAGAATAGTTTCAGTTCTCTCCCGAGAAACACTTCTTAAACCAAATTTAATACATATATCACACATACATATTACAGTTGGTTTGCTTCCGCGTTCTGCACCACAAATGTTTAACTGCCTTTACAGTTTCATAGACCGACAACCTAGGTAGACCCATAATTTATCCTCTTGGCAGAACTAATCAGCAAAGTTCCTAGACTAAGGACAAAATCATGGGACATTGCATGGACTAGGCAAACAGACTGTTGTCATGAATTACATTTGCAGTGTATGGTGTTGGTCTTCCAATTTCGACACGAAGAAAATCTCATCAAGCACCTTACGTATAACTTTGGATTGAGGGTGTGACCTATCTGAAGCAACAAACTCATGAAACCTTCCCTCCACTTCTATCGAGCTACACCCCGGGTTCTTCTTGACCCCTTTACTTCTCATCATGCCTCTGAACTCACTCACATCAACCCATTTTCGCTCGTTCGCAAATAGACTTGCAAGAAGCATGTAGATGCCACTGTCTTCAGGGTCCAAAGCTAAGAGCTTTAGACCGGAGAGTCTTCCTAACTCAACACTCCCATGCATTCTGCAACCATTGAGAAGGGCACCCCAAACAGCTGCATCTGCTTCCATAGGCATTGTTCTTATAACCTCGTATGCATCCCCGAGTCGCCCAACTCTGCTGAGCAAATCAACCAGGCATGCATAATGCTCTTTTACTGGCATTAACCCGAATTTTCTCATGTTCCTGAAATGCCCCCAGCCTTCGTTCACCAATCCCCCATGAGCGCATGCCGAGAGAACGCCTACGTATGTGATCTCATCAGGAACAAACTCTAAAGTCATCATTTGGTCAAAAAGAGAGAGTGCCCTCTCAGCAAGCCCGTGAGAAGCACACCCGACTATCAATGAATTCCAGGACACCAAATCTCTTTGGGTCATTGCAGTGAAGAGTTCCTCAGCGGCATCAATGTTCCCACATTTTGCATACATATCAATTAGCGCATTCACCAGAATTACACTGCACTGAATCCTCCTTTCCTTAACATAGTAATCGTGAACCCGTTTGCCTATATTCAAGGAACCCGATTGAGCAGAAGCAGAGAGCACACACACCAAAGTGCTCTCCATGGGCACCACACCTTCTCTCTCCATTTCATGAAAAAGCTCCAAGGCCTCCCCAGGTCTGTTGTTCTGTGAATAGCACGCAATCATCGCATTCCATGATACAACACTTCTACGGGGCATGTCAGTAAAATACTTCCTTGCTAGGTCCACTTCCCCATACCTGGCATGCCCGTTTATCATAGTTGTCCATGAAAAAACATCTTTTTCTTCCATCTTCCCAAACAGCTCTTTAGCCATAGGCAAACAACCACACTTTACATACATGTCCAGTATTGCATTCAGCAAATTCAGACCACGGCATTTCACACCTCTCTTCTCCATAAAAGCATGAAAGTACTTCCCTAACTTCAAGTCCCCCTTCTGCGCACATGCAGAGAACACTTCTATCATTGTAACCTCGGTCGGCTCAACCCCACTGCAACACATTGTACGAAATAATGCCAATGCCTCACCAGCCATACTCTTTTTCACATACCCATCCATTAATGAAGTCCAGGACACCACATCCCTCACAGAACTTTCGTCAAACACCTTCTTCGCACAAAGCATCCTTCCACTCTCCCCATAAAAATAAATCAAACAATTCTTCAAAACCAAATATTCACAAAAGCCGAGCTTCCTAATCCTACAATGCACCGACTCCCCCACACAAAACCCTCCTAAAAACCCGCAACCTTTCAGCGCAAAAACGTAGCTTCTTTCATCCATTTCTATATTTTCCCTAATCATTCCACTGAAAATGGACAATCCCATTTCTCTAAGCTCAGCCTTAACGTAACCCCTAATGATGGTATTCCAAATATACACATTGGGTTCTGAAATCTGTGAAAAGAGCAACCTTGCATAATGTACATCTCCACAATCATCCAAAGCGCAGAAGGAAAGGAGTCTGCTGACGGGGAAGGTGTGAAATATGAGGCCAGTCCTTGTCATATTGGCCTGGATTTGCTTGAGCTGGGACATGGAATTGCAGGACTCGATGAGGAGTAGAGTAGGATGAGAGATCTTTGAGCTCAGTTCTTGATTTGAATTCCATTTGGCTTTCGATGAAAATGGCATGCAGAATCGGAGTAGAGCAGGGGGTTTGGGTGACATGGATATGCAGATGAGTGAAACTTCTAAAGGATTTCCAAGCAAATTGGGGAACCAACATTTGAAATTCCATACATGTTACAGACTACGAGGAAGACAATGACATCTAGATATCAAATCCCACCAATGGTGTAGGGATTCTACTCCGACTGCAGTGAGTGAATACATTTCTGGCCAAGAAATATTTGAGGATCTTTATTTTCCCTCCCCTTTTTTCCACTCCAATTCGGGAGAAAGTTACTATAGTAACCATGAGAAGCATTTAATTAAAATAAAATTATCATTTTATCCTCATATAAATCATGGAGGGGTTCGGGTGACATTAGCCCTCTATGGGCCCTGATTGGAGCATCTACGATATTTCGTTTGAAAAAATTAAGGATTCCTAATCACCTTACTTTCCCGGTGAACCCCCCACCTCCGGCCCAGCCCCCGAACATACATGCACTGCGTCAATTGCATGCAACAAAATTTAGTTGACTTTAGAGTCAAGATTGAACTTTAAAGTCAACCAACTTTTGTGGCATTCAATTGATTGAGGTGAGGGGTATGTTCGAGCCAAGCCGGGGGTGGGGGGGGGGGGTTTACCGGGGGTTAGGGAGTAGAATTCATCAATCTTTCGAATGAAGCATCATATGAATTGAACCATTATTTTTAATAATTGCGCAGCTTGTAATAATGATGCATGGAAGCAATGTTAAAGCTTAAAAAAATTGTATTTTTCATATTTTAAAAAGAGGTGTTTTAAAATACCACGGAAGAATTAGACGGAATTGTAATAGCAATTCCTGTTGCAATTTTTGTATTATTCTGTTGCTGATGATGATTGCAACATATTTTCTGTTGCACATTTGCCATTGCAAAAACCATTGTTGCAAATTCATTGCATCGGAAATTTGCAACAGAAATTATTGTTGCAAATTTTTGCTATAGAAGAATTGCAACGGAAATGTCGTTGCTAATCACTACAAGATTTAATTTGAATTGCTACGGATATTCTGCGACCGATTTTATCCGCCACAAATTGCGACGGATTTTGCGACGAAATTAAGAGCGTATTGAATTTGGTAATATCTGCGATAGAACAAACGATTCCGTCGTAGAGTTGCGACGGTATATGTATTCCGTCGCAAAAAGTTGATCGTCAACATTTTAATTTATTTCCTGCGGCAGAAGCTGCGACGGAATAATATCCGTCGCAAATTTAAAATTTAACCTTATCCTTGCTCAGTCGGGTTCACTTTGTCTTTGAACCAGACACAGCGCACCGGTCTCCATCGCCGTCCTCTGCCCTCCACTGCCGAGCTTCGAATCGCTGCCGCCGAACGTCGTCCGCTGTCTGCCGTCCGCCGGTCCTCCATCCACCCAACCACCGTTCGACGTCCACGGACTCAAGGTAAAACCCTAATTGTTTCCCTCAATTGAATTATGAAATTTTTTTGACATTTTTTATTGTGATTGTATGATTATAATGATTTGATTTACTGTAAATTATTAAAAAAAGTATTGTGTTTAAAGTTTGTATTATTTTTGCTATTTTTTGTTAAATTTGATATTAAAAGTGCATTAAATTTATTCTAGGAAATTTATCATATGCTTTTTTATATGCGTTTTTAAGTCATATATTGTTATCATACGAAATTTTGATTTAATTCTAAGAATTTTTTTTATATGATTATAGGAAATTTTTATTTGATATGGTTCTAGGATTTTTTTATTTTTTTGTTAATAAAAAGTTCTTAACTTAATAAAAATGCGACAATGTAAGTTGTATTTTTTTGTACTTTTTAAGTTGAGAATTAATTTGAACTATTGATATGTTATTTGCATTGTTCAATTTGTGCTTGTTTTGATCAAACATTGTTGATTTTTTACGACAATGTCTGGATTTGGTGATCGTGAATGGATGTATAATAAATTTGAATCCGAAGGTGTAGTTAGTAAAGAATGGGTTGGCAATGTCATGAAGTTTGTGGATATTTGTTCCTCGAATCCCAATGCTGATCAGTCAAAGAATAACATGTTGGAATTTTTGGCATTTTTAATTGGCATTAAATGGACCAATTTGGGTATATTTGTCAATAGGTCCACTAACGGTTTTAACCGTTAATTATGGACGTGTGTTCTCTTAAATGAGATAAATGTTTTGACAATTTATACGCCAAAAATGGTAGAGGGTGAATGAGAAATTGATTCTCAGAGTTAACCCGTTAATAAAAGAATATGTTGAGGATTGCAATTTTTGCAATTTTACTGAACCAATCTTCTTTTATTAATTTTACGTATTGTTTAAAATTAGTCCATTTTACGGAGTTAACTGGCCATTAATCTCCAATTATTCGGGACAAATTTTAAACGGAGCGTAGCGTAACAGACGTGTTAATGGCTAATTAATCACCATTAACACACCACAAATGTCATGATTAATTTTAAGGGTTTAATGGTGTAGGAGTTACACATTTTAAACACCTTAGTTATAAAATCAAAGTGCTCCTCTCCATTTTCCTTGGTGCCTTACGTGAGAAATAAAAGAGAAAAAGAAAGAAAATCTTTCTTGTTTATTTTTGAGAGAGCTCTTGGTATTCCGGTCAAATTTCCGGCCATCCCCTTTAAAGTTTTTGGTCGCCAACGTTCCTACGTTGTCCTTGTTCGTTGGTGTGTGGTTGGTCCGTACCATCTCCACACACGATAGCGGTTTTATCCTGGGAGGAGAGTGCCCACGTTTTCCGGTACGGTAGGCGGGCACTACTACCTTAAGGACAGCTCCGGCGACTCCGCTGTCCTTCCACGGTGTTGTGTTTTTGCAGGTTCAGTTCATAAAGACCTCGCTGCATTCTAGCCCAGTGCATAATGTCCTCGCAGCCCTGTGCATAACGTCCTTGAATCGCTGTCCAGTGCTTAAAGACCTCGCTGTCCAGTGCTTAAAGACCTTGCTGTCCAGTGCTTACGTCCTCGCTGTCCAGTCCTTAATGTCCTCGTACAACAAGGCCGAGCGTTTGAAGATATAGAAATTTATTTTCAACTTTATTTATTCAGTAATATTCTGAATAGATTATAAATTCAGAATTTTATTTATTATTTATTTCCGGGGCCGTTCATCTTCCCCGACCGTTGTAATCCGTACAAGAGTTGTAACAAACTTAAGGTAGTAGTCATATCCGTGCGCAATGGCGGGTATGGACGGATTCGGGTTTGACGCTCACACCGGAAACGGGAGTAGTTCCGAGACTCCGGTTGTGAACGTTTCGGCTGGATTGGGTGGCTCTGTTGGGCAGACCACTCCGATCAACATTCCTTTCGGATCGAGTGCAGCCATGCGGTCCACTCCGATCACCACCTTCGTTGGATCGAGCGCGACTATGGGGTCCGCTCCGGTCACCTCGGTTATTGGACCAACCGCGGCTACGGCCGCAATGGTCACCCCACTCGGACCGAATATGGCTTCGGCCATACCGGTCATTCCCTCACTTGGACCGAACACGGGTGTCTTCACATCCGCAGCGGTCGGACATCCTACTGTCATGCTGCCTGCGAACTCTGTCAAAGAACCGGCAAAGTTCACAGGTGTTGGCTTTAAAATATGGCAGCAAAGGATGTTATTTTGACTGACCACCCTCAACCTTGCGAGGTACTTAAGGGAGGATCCCCCTGTTGTGGGGGAGAAAGCGGACGAGCCAACAGTTCAGGCTAAAGAGGCATGGATAGCGAATAACTATACGTGCCTTAACCTTATCCTGAATTGCTTGAGCGATGCCTTATATGCTGTTTATAGCACGGCTGCATCCGCAAAGGAGTTATGGACTACACTGTCCAACAAATACCAGGCCGAGGACGCCGGTGCGAAGAAATTCGTTGTTGGTAAGGTCTTGGATTTTAAGATGGTGGATTCCAAACCCGTGGTCAGTCAAGCTGAAGAATTGATTCTCATTTTTAATGAGTGCACTGACGAGGGAATGGGAGTCAGTGAGGCATTCCAAGTGGCGGCAATTATTCATGTGCTCCCGCCAGCTTGGGATGAGTTCCGAAGCTATCTCAAGCTCAAACGGAAAGAAATGACTTTAGAACAGTTGCTTGTTCGTCTCCGGATCCGTGAAGAGGGTCTCACTCGCGAGAAGAAAGTAGCTGTTTCTAAGGCCAATGTGGTGGAGCATCCATCCAAAGAGGGTTCTTCCAAAGGGCCCAAGCCGAATAAGGACAAGAAGAAAATTGGTCCTAAAGGAGGCGTCGCGAAGCCCAAGTTCGCGGGGAAATGTTACAACTGTGGCATTACGGGCCACCGTTCTTCAGAGTGCCGCAAGAAGCCTCAGAAGAAGAAGCAGAAGAAGGAAGAAGCTCTCTGCTCGGAGCTAGATGCTATGGACCTTTGTGCTGTCGTGACAGAGGTCAACCTGGTCGGGTCTAACCCGAAAGAATGGTGGGTTGACACCGGAGCCACTCGTCATATCTGCTCCAATCGGGCCATGCTCTTTGACTTTAAGGAGACTTCTGGCGACAAGGTGTGGATGGGCAACTCCGCCCAATCCGAGGTTCAAGGCGTGGGCAAAGTTAAGCTCAAGATGACATCCGGCAAGGAGCTCACGCTGAATGATGTGTTGTATGTGCCAGACATACGAAAGAACTTGGTGTCAGGCTCACTATTGAACAAACATGGATTCCGCATGGTGTTCGAGTCTGATAAGCTGATCTTGAGCAAAAAGGGAATATTTATAGTCAAAGGTTATATTTCTGATGGGCTTTTTAAGCTTAATGTACTCACTGTTGTTGAGAAAATTAATAAAACTCCTGTTGGCTATGTTTGTGAGTCCTCCAGTGTGTGGCATGGAAGACTAGGACATGTTAATTATGCATCTCTTCAGAAATTAATTAACATGGAATATATCCCTAAGTGTGACATCGACCAGTCCCACAAATGTGAGACGTGTGTCGAAGCAAAGTCAACGCGAAGTTCGTTTCAAACAATTGAGCGAACCACTCAGCCACTGGATTTAATTCACACGGATCTGTGTGATTTCAAATCAACGCTTTC